ACTATAATAGACGAATTACTTGTCAAAACATGGTATTGAACTCTTCTCAAGTACGAAAAATCATGATAATACTTATCAGAATTCAAAAATCAATGTCAGCAAAAAATTCAAACAACATTATTCGTCGAACTAACTGATATATGCCATACATAGTTACGATCATTTTTACATTGTTTTGTTTTTCTAATTTATTTTCATCTTTTAATCCCACAATAACAGTACTTGATTAACAACTGTATGAAACAATAAATATTTTCTACGAAATCGTGTTATGACACGCGTTTATTAATAACAAAAATAATATCATACTACATCGCGTACTTATGACAATAGTAATGAGTACTAACTCTACTTGAGTGAATGAGATGATGATTTTCTCTGAAAACGACTGTCGCGACTATAAAGACAACACCTTAGCTTTGAACAAAGCTCTAGTGGAGTAACCACAATCAATACACCGGTGTCGATCGGTTTGGAACCGCTATCAATTTTTGTAACTACACTAGGAAGACAGTGGACATAAAGGTTAAACTGACTTCTCGTCTGTGGGGCGATCAACTAACCGCCATCCCACCTGCAGTTAAAACACATGGCGAATGAAATTAAAGGAATCATTTTTTAAGCAAACTGTATATGTGCTTGAATCAATACACCCGTTAAAGTATTTAATTGTTTCTGACTATAGTCACTTGGCAAACTCTGTCTGTTCCTTGCTACCGGGAAAATTAAACTAAGACTAACTAGAAAAATACAGCGCAAAAACAACCACTGAGCTTTATGTAAGCTGCACGGAATATAAATATTAGTTTGAGTTCAAAATCCATCAACTGTTACTTAATCAGTCCTTTTGATCGAAAAAAACTGCCACAAATAATAGACAGCTAGAAGGACTGAAAATGCATGAAGACCCGAGCAAGTAAGCGTAATAGCAAGATAATGTATCGCGATTCCATTGTTCCGATTTGGTTGTCTTCAAAGTAACGATTTGAATTCCCTGCCCTAGCTAGATCACCACATATCCCAAATTTCAATGACCCGAACATGATATGCGAGGCTAGGTATTGTCTCATCGTTGTCACATTTATAATGTGTAAGTCAATACCTACCTGGAGCCGTGTTAGAAGTGCAGATGTAAACGCCAGCATGAAAAATAAGCAAAATTTGAATCTATCAAAGCCAATCAACTAATTTGTTCATAGAAAACTTCACTGACTGGACTACGTGACCAGTAGATCAAAGCTCGACTATAAACAGTACAGCTTTCACTTTTGCACGTAGCATCTAACTTAACTAATGATACTTGATATATAATAAATAATTTAATTTAAAGCCGAATGCATTATCTGCATTCAAAACCCCCGAGACCAAACTGATGACGTCACAAACCTGATTCATAACAATTCTGATTAAATTTGTTTTGGTTAGGTACACCTTCAGCCAAATCTGCACCATGTACGGGACACACCATATTTGATCTTTCAATATTATATTTATCTTCGACCCACGTTCGATATGACAAGATGTTTTGTTTCATTCCTGCTACGATTTAGAAATTTCGGTTCCTGAGGTCAGAGTATCATGACCCTACCCGGATGTGTAATCCAAATCTCTTGTGTGATTTTGATCGCAATTTTATTTGTTCTGTGGGTAATTAAGACAGCCGCACAACGTAATCATCAAATAATTGAAAATAATTGTTTTGTGGCATTGATACATCATAACTCAATATCTAATTTAAGAAAAATTATCCGCATATTTCATCAAAGCGTATTCTGAAAAGGCATGGATTTGATTGCCTAGTGCAGAGACTTACAACATTATGGAAATTGAACATGGTGTGTTCTAATATTAATATAGAATAAATAACTCAAATGGAAGCTTGGTAACGAGAAAAAAAAGAGATTCAGTACTCAAAATAAAATTGCTTTCAATGACAATATACGCTAATTATTAACTCTGGTTCAAAATTAGAATCAATTGCTAACCTTACCATTTTATATCACATTGAAATGACATTGTTGCAGTCTAGACTCTATGCATATTGTTAGAAATTTCAATATTTGGGACAATTATTTCATAAAATTAAAATAATTTGCGCTCCTGGGTTCATATTGTTGATAAAAATCACCATGGTTTCATTCCATGAAGTATACCCACAATGCCACCTCCTGGGGCCCATATTATTTATGCTTTATACTAAGAATTGGACTACAGCGTATCTGTACTAATCTTATGTCGACAAATTTGGGCAATTTAACATTGTATTCTACCAAAGGCAGGAAAGGTGTGCGAACATTTTCCTAAAATCGACGAAAAAAAATTTTCGTTGACAAGCGTGATCATATAATACAATATCATGCATATAACTCCATCAACAATCCATAATTAGTTTAAGAGCTTTCGTGGAAAATATTTATAAAATCAGCGAAGTCTCAAGAATTTTGTGTTCGATGGCGCTTAAGTGTTCGATGAAAGTTAACAGCGATTAACAAAATCTAATAATATTAATTCAAGTAGATTTAAAAGTTTCATAATGTATTTAATCCATGCTTTACATGCATTATCGTTATTGGTAATATCATGCGTATATTTGAATCTTAAAAAATGAACATGTTCCGTTCCATATCATAGCTCGGACAGCTAAATCAAGTTTCTTTGAAAAATATATATTAAACCACCAATTCTGACCTTTGCATTTTGAAATCTTGCGGATTTGAGCTAATATATAAAATAAAATTTCCCATTTGTATAACTACTGTACTACCCAGAAATAAAATTTGAAGGATACCGTTTGAATATCACGGAAAAGCTAAACAATAAAGATTTTTAAACATTCCTAACTTTATAATTAGAGTTATGTCTATACAAAATATAACTCCCATGGTCAAAAAGCTGTTACTGTGCGTCCTTGCTGCCTCTTTTTGGGCAGGCTTACAACCATTTTCGCTATTTGTGAAAACAGAAAACAACATATTATTATTTGTTCGTGGTCTACGCACCACTTAACATACTGAAATTGTGGTTCTGATCTTACTTCTTCTACAAGGCAATATTACATTATACTTCATTTAAAGTAGACATTGTTCAAATTAAAATAAAGATAATTTCCGTCTATATATATGTAGCATACCCTATACTTGTTAATCATAGCCCATGACATACTTCCCAAAGAATTTACTCTCATCATTACGTAGACAAACAATAAATTATTGCTTAAATTTAACGATCAGCAACGTATTCAATTTGTAAAATGTTAACAAATGCAAGCAGACCAGATCATATTACCCTCTAAATTCGGTATTCATTAGGCCTCCTCCATTAGCGAGTCACATTGCTAAGTTTGTTTGTTGAATGTAAATGAAAGGAATGGAAATTGACACCCTAATGATTAATAGGCTCAAATGTTTAGGCGAATAAAAATAGCTATAATGTAAACGTTTTTAAGAAATTCTTAAGCCAATAAAAATAGCAATGTAAACTATTAGGTCGATGTCTAATCCAACCACTGTCTTCCAACCACGTTTAGATGATGATTAATATGGGATTACATTACCTCGACATAATAAGCCACACATGTCATTTTCAGTAATTTTTATATAATTATTCATTTGAAAGAATTCCAGTCGTTGCTTTTAAAAACCACATAGAATTCAAACAGCCAAAAATTCAATTAGGGAAAGATGATAAAAAGCTCTAATAGATAATAATATTTATTTAGGTTTTAGTCAAAATTGTCTGTCAGCGAAAAGTAATGCTTCAAACAAATATCATCTTGAAGTGTGTCAATTACATGGACATGGTACTCCCGAAGTATGTGAACCAAGATGGCGGACACCGGAACGTAGTATGTGTACCAGGTTAGGGTTAGGCCATGATTTTATTCCAATTTTCCTTATTTTAGTCCTATTACAAGCTCGAGTACTAGCCAAGTGACTCCTGTAGTACTTGTACCTGAGATTATGGTCTAACCCTAACCTGGTACACATACTACGTTCCGGTGTCCGCCATCTTGGTTCACATACTTCGGGAGTACCCATTTTTGTTGTTTTATTCAAAGCAATGTACCATCTATCTATGGCATATAGCCGGTTTTACGAACATTATAAACTTTGATTGATGATTTTTCAGTATTCCCTTGATTGTTTTTTAACAACTAAAGAATTCTTGAGATAATTATCAATAATTTCAAATATTTCGCGTTTGTCAGATATTTAATTAATGTTCTATTCCGACAAAAATAAAATACATTAGTGAATTTTGAATGATTTTTCATATGGTTTTATCAACATTTATTCAAAATAAATGGATTAGTATTAAATGATATATTCGAGCCTTCTTATAACATTTAGTTGGATTGTATTTGATGGTACTATAAGGACGTATTGAAAGACTAGGACGATCAAATCTCTTTCTTACCCGAGCACAGCTCAATAATGTAGTGTGCCTCGCCGCCTACAAATAACATTTGAATGAGAATGTGTTACCAACACGACACACTCGCAATAATCCATCCAATTCCTAATATTTGTTATTTTATTTTGTCACTTTAAACACCTCGTATTGCAGACTGTGTTACATACAACTTAATTCTTAAAATAACAAAACTAATCCACTGCTAGGCTTCTTGAGAAGCTTGCGGCGCCGCACAGAACCCCTCCTGCTCGCAAAATCCGTACATCGGGCGACCAAATTCATTCCTAATTTTAAGAAATTATACCTCGTTCGGGGGCCACGCACTTGGTTCAAGTATCTCTCAATTATAACAATATTAAATTGATGATTCGGCACACTGGCTTATGATACATAATTTGAGTGTTTCGCCTGATCAGGAGATTAATACAAAGACACAAGCCTGCAATTATCCAATCATAGTGGGCAGTATGGCATTCGGGGAGTATGGGAGATACACAAATAAAAAATAAATATAAAACGAAACAATATATAAATGAAGAGAAACATAACATAATTCATTAATCGAATTTATCAAGTCAGGACGACCACAAAATCAACAAGGCCAAGTTGAGGAAAAAATAGTTATTGATATTTTTGGTTGTAGATTTATCTTCACGCAAATTACAAGTTCAGACTGTACAATCCATTGGGAACGCGATGTTTGCAACCTGTACCGTGTTGATCGCATTATGGGTGAATCTAATTCAATATACACAAAGCGAAGGTAAGTGCGTTTCTATGTTTTAATTCAAGTTCATTTATTCAATTTGTATAAAATCAAGCAAAGGACATCGCATGTGTTTTCGTAAATTCAATAGCCGTGGACAAGGCTGTGTCGGAATTTTATTGTGAAAATCAAAACATATGGTGACAATCTTTCGCGAAATTCAAATCCGATCAAAACCGATTTTTATAAATCCAATTTGCTGTTTGGAATTCAATTTCAAGGTCATTCCGGATTTTATTTTGTGGACCCTAAATCGATCGACCTCCCTCTATACCGCAACAAAAGCTAGCTTCTGATCGAAAAATCCTTCCAATGTCGATTGGTTTAAACCACAATGCCTGTAAATCGATTATTAAATCAAAATAAATTGTTCCATAATAGAATAATATAAAGGACAATTAAAAAATATGATCTCTTGTGTTAAGACGCAAAGGCAGAAAATTAATATTAATTTTAAATTAACACCACATGTGGTATACGTAAAAAGACCGTTTAATGAGGTATCCATTTTAGGTTAATGCGCATTAGCCAATGTTGAGGTTTTAAATGAATAAATGTCTCGAAAAACACCAACCGTGTCTGCTACAATTAGTTTTCATTAGATTTGAATGTTTATTTTTAATATTTATATGTTTTACGGTAGCTCATATGGCGTAGGTAATTCATTACCCAATAATTGAATTTGATTAATTATACAACATCATGTAACCACCATATACTAGCGATCTATGGGTATGTTATTGTTCAGTTTTTGCTACTGTTATTTGCTAGTTGTCAAGCGTAAAGTAGATTTACTGTAAAACGAGGTTCATTTCACTGTACATAGTCTGTAATAACACCCTGCCCATAGGTTTCAGCCCCTTTACACAACTTGATGTAATGTAGGCGAACAAAGTTAGTTACCTTCATATTGGTACACACACTTGTGAAGAGCCCCAATGATTACCTATTTTCAATTTCAGATTCTTGTGGTTCTGTTATAATCGGCGATGATTGTGGCTTCACTGGAATCACAGCCCTCGAATGCCGCCAACGGGGATGTTGTTATGATTTTAGCGCACGAAAGATTAATGAAAAATGTCTTTACCCGTTCGATTTTTTTTCCTCTTCAAACAAAGGTGAACATAAATTCCTTCAAAAATGTAAATCAATTTTAATATATTGTTTTAAAAGACAGAAAGTGATTACTTAAACTAAAAGGGTAATGGATGCGATCTTCGGAATATTTATTGTTAATTTTTTTCACGTAAACCAAATACCCAAAACAGGCCATGGAAGGAAATTTATTTCACAAGTTTTTCGTGTTTTTTGCTATTCATATTTTGGGAACTCATTTCAGATATTAATGGAAAAAATTGCCCTAATATTTCTCTTTTTTTTTGCTTTTCGTAATTTAACTCAAAACTAATCGAACTGAATAAGAATATTAGTGTCAAAAAACTGTCAAAATAATATTAAATCACTTTTCTAAAAATATTTTAAATTCCTCAAATAATTATGCTATTTGTTATTGTAGTATGCAAATTACACATCGACGAAATAAATTGTCTTATTGCTGGATTTCTCATGGATAATTACTGACATTGCCCGACTGTATAGTGTATAGCATCTGTTTGTCGTCAGTTTTTAAAATGTGATTCTGCTCCTTGTATACTCTGTCAGTAATCACTCTGTCTGCATTTATGTCATTTCATTTACACATTTAGATTCAAAGACCTTCCTGGGAACTTCTGTGCTGAACATCCCTGAGCCTACAAGAGCACTCAGCGATCGACTTACTAAATTGTCCGTAGAATACGAACTAAAAAACGCGTTCCGCTACCGTTTCCCGCAAGTGAGATCAGTCAAAGGTTAGTTTGATGTAAATAATTTTTCCTTAGGCTTGTATCTAGAATTGTCCAGCAAAGCCAGCACGCTTCAACGATAGTGAAGTCCCAGTTCAGAGTAATAACAAAACAAATCTTGACGACACAGTCAAACGCTGCAAAAGATCAGCAAACAGGCCGAGCGGAAAATGTGAATGAAAACAAATAAAGACAAAATTCGTGCTTGTAGTAAAACATGTAAAAGATATTCATTTAGTTTAAATCTCGAGGTGTCCATTAAAAACAGATGGGCACTACGCTTCAATGGCAGTCAAGTCTCAGTTTAGGGTAAAAAAAAAAACACAGCGCAGTCAAAACATGTGCAAGCAAATGAGGCAGTTAATTTGAACAGCAAAACAGACCAACTTTGTGAGACATGTAAATGAACTAATGGTAGTCTATTATAAAGCACCCTAATTTGAAAATTACATTAAGTGAATAATTCAATATTTCACACACACAAATTTTCTTTGTAATTTGGCAGCAAAGCCATGAGTACTGAAATAGACAGCGTAAGATAAAGAAAGTCTACTCAGGTCTTACTATCCTCATTGGAAATTTGTTCATTTATTCACCTAAACAAACTACTTCCCATCTACATTGTTTTCTCCAGGGAATGAAACAGCATGTTCTACGTATAAACAATATCCCTCATTTCAGAGACAAAAGCCCTATCTTTTAATAAGTGTGTCTGATCAAATTTCTGACGCGCACAAAGAATGTAGTTTGTTAAAACGATTTATCAATTGTTGCCACTTATGTGATACCTATCTTTATTTACAGTAAAAAACTTCACCAATGCAGAATTTGATTACGTAATCACAATTTTTGCTGACAAATCTTTTCAAATGACTGCAGAAGATCTTTTAAAAGCATATGCCAATGCAATGCAAATACCGGAATCAGAATCATCATGTGGAAAATATTTTATCGGATTGCCGATAATTAGAGGTAAAAATTCATCATTTTCAAATTCCCAGTGTCATTGAGTCACACTAATCTAGCGCGCGTTTATCCTTTTTAACCCAAACAGCAGAATTGTATATTTCGTATATAACCATTATTCCTTACTCACCGTGCATAAAATCTGTTCCCGTTTGTTATTCAATCTTTAATAATGTTTCATTTCCTTGTAATACGTGCAATCTAGCATTTGTACAGTTTGAAAGGTTTATGTTTCCTTAAATACGTATCAGAATAATATCAGATAACTAATGATTTGTGAAACTACACTAAATACAAAGTGCAATTTTCTCCCCGGTAGGAAACGTTGTGTTAGGTGCAAGGCGAAACATGGTATAGTCACATAGCAAGCAGCGCTTGATACACCCATACATACAAAATAGCAGTTATACATACCTAAAGTAGTTGACCGTGATCCCTATTTGAATAATTTCGGCGAATCTGCCTGGTGCACGTGATTCTAACTAAATTTTCACCTAGTTTTACCAGTGTAAAGAGTTATTTAGGAGCTATGTGGTTTTTCTTTTACGAAATAGGCTATTTTTCAACGAAGCTCACTCACATTCGGATCTTAGGTAAAATGTTAGCCCGCTTGCACGCCTGCCGTACAATAAATATATAAATGGACAGTAGGTTATAATTGTAATTGTAGAAACAATCAGAAAAAAAATTAGTGAATGGCATATTCGTAAAGGCCAATTTAATACTATTTGCGCAATCGTTGGTCAAATGAAATCATAACTGTAAATAGAAACTGCCTATTAATGTCATTTAGTCCTTATAACTGCACTTACTTACGAGACCTAGTCCATTGTCTACCGGCACTTCAAGAGAAGAGATATTGCTTCCAGTTGTTATAATACCTTGTGTTTCGATAATTTGTAACTTAATAATTCATTTTTCAAGATTATGACGAATGTGAAGCTTCCAACGTGTGTGACATGAAATCAATCTGTGTGAACACAATGGGTAGCTACAAATGCCATTGTAAGTATGGCTTCACAAAAGATCAATTTGGAGTTTGCTCTGATATCAACGAATGCAAGGAAATGGCAGAGGTGTGTCGACAGAATCAGGAATGTACTAACACAATTGGTGAGGGGAATTATTTTTTTCATATACAGTATACAGATAAAATAAATACGGGTGTAATTTTAGAATAAGTTGAAGTTGATTTTATAATTGAAAGTAATTGAGTAATTTGTATATATATTGAAACAGTCAGCAGATTTTTGTTACAATTTAACGTTTAAATAATTAATTCGCTTGCCTATTCGACCACAGCATTCGTTATACGGTAAGTAGGGGTCGAAAACGAGTTGTAAGTTGTGTGTTTAATTGCACATAGAGTGCTAGTTAACTTTGACAGTGTGTTAGATCAGTTTTATAAAGATGCAAATCGGCCCGATCCCGAATCAAAAACCTTTTCCAACTCTCAACCAAACCTACCAATCAACCAAATCTAATGATATTCCCCAAGAAATACATTGCAATGTGTTTCTAATACGAGGAATGGATTTTAATTTCTGACACAGAATGGTAATGCGAAATCGGCTTTTTCATGGTTCATATTTTGTGCAATGTATAGTGTAATTAAGCGCTTCAACACTTATCTGTGCAGCTTGAAAAAGTGCATTGATTCAAGTATAATTATGGTCCGCGAGAGTAAAGTGTTTGTTAGTAAATATACATATATTGCCATGAACCAAACAAGATAGAATCACCGGTAAATAACCTCTCTTCACCTATTTCATATGGAAGGAAATTTTATGACGTTAGTGATTTCATTATTATATTGATTCTTTTTGTTTCTACAAAAACAGGAAGTTATAATTGCGTTTGCAAAGATGGATTTCGTATTGATAGCAGTGATGTTTGCGTTGACATTGATGAATGTTCACAAGGCAAACACAATTGTTCTCAAGAAACAGAACTATGTGTCAACAATGTAGGAGGATTTGAGTGTGAATGCAAACCCGGATTTCGGAAATACCGATTTTTTGGTAAAAAATACTGTGTAGAAGATGATCCATGCACATCAAGTAAGCATACTATGATGCATTCTTAGTATAATAAAAATCAAATAGTAATAAATATATTTCGACTGAAAAAGCAGGAAATTAGAAAGTAGATAATTTGGGGTTGCAGTCCTTGATTAATGTTGACGCCATATAGCCACGTCTCACTTATTTTCTCATCGCTAATCTATTTTTGAGTTGAAGAGGTTGAGTAATTTTGCTAAACTGCGTTTTCAATTCTCATGGTCAATTTTCGGTGACTTAGTTCCATTTGCCCATTTTGGGCCAGACTGTGTCGTTTTGATATCTTCTTGTATTCTGTTTCTGAGTGCAATTGTAACAAATTTAAATGCGATAATACCTGATAAAACAAATTCTCCTCTTTTTACGCACCTATGTCATTTTCATTTTATGGAATTTGTGGCATCTTATAACAATCGCTAACAAAATAACATATTTGCATATTCCCAGATCCATGTCACCAAGACGCAGAATGCAAACGTTCTGGGCCATTATACACGTGTCAATGTCGAGAAGGTTTCACAGGAAACGGTACTAATAAATTTTGTCATTCACAAACATTGTACATACTTTTGAGCGATTTATGTAACATACTTGCTCTCAATATTGCACTTCAGGAGAACAGCATTGTCACGAAATCAAGCTGTGTATGTTGGCATCGGTAAACAATTGTCACGAGAAAGCAGATTGTTCAAATATTCCTGGTAGTTACCTATGTACTTGTCAAGGCGGATACACTGGAGATGGATTCATTTGTGAAGATATAAATGAGTGTGATAACGATCTACTATGCGGGAATCATGCTAAGTGCAAAAACGTAGAAGGTTCATACCAATGTACTTGCGACAACGGATATCGAAAACTTGCGACGGATGAATGTCTGGATATCGATGAATGCGAGGTGGGTTTTTAAAAACGAGATGCGTTTTGTCTATACTTCCCCACTTTACTATAACGTTATTGCATTTGATATTCATTCTCAAGCCATGATAATTCCCTTCCCTTTTTTCAATTTAATCGTAAGGATTCGCGTATAAATCTCAGTTGGAGTGGTGTATATGATAAGTCTTAACCAGTAAAAATGCAGATAGAAGATGTTCAAAAGAGCTTGCTACACGCCTAACTGTATTAAATATTTTCTAAGTTTTCTCACTAAGAGGCATTGTATTGTCCGAGTCATGCATTCATTTACGTTTTGTTTTTTGCGTCTGATTAACAACAATGTCATAATATTCAGTCAAACTCGTGTAACACAAACGCCATCTGCCGGAACCTACCAGGATCGTATGAATGTTCATGCAACCCAGGATACGTAGGAGATGGAATAACATTTTGTCAAGAGACAGAAGATAAAATTGGAAGATCAATAACGATTAGTTTAGTAGGGATTCATTGTGATCCTGTATTTGGTACGTTGAACAATGTAGTATTGTATATTTGCTTTGCCACGGCGAAGTAGGAAGGTTTTTGCAGCCGTAGCACTTTATATTAGTGGTAAAATATCCAAGACTATACATATTTCACACTTACGTTAATGATATTTCTTTTAATTTTTTTTTTTGAAAAAGTTTAGCGCCATGTCGTCGCCTTAAAACTAAGCATATTTAGGCCGTAGCTTAAAGACCTCTGACTATATATATTCACCACTTACCCCACCGAGAGTTCAATGGGCTAGGAGTTATCTAGAGACGTAAACACCCTAATAATAATTGATTCAACAAACACTTAAATTTTTTATTTTTGTAGGTCCAAAAGAAACAGAAACTAAACTGAGCAAAATCTGTTCAATCGATGCAACTTGTGAAGCTGGAACCTTGGGAATTTATTCGTGTCGTTGTCCTGTAGGACTTATTGGAGATCCAATGGAAGCTTGCTACGACTGGGACGAGTGTCAAGAAGAATTCCATGAGTGTCATGCCTGGTCAAATTGTATAAACACGGAGGTAAAAATAAAAAGCATGCAAAGGTTGTACAATATGTATATGACTATCTTTCTAATTATGACCATCGTGGTTTTGTTGAACCTCAGTATAATTATTATTGAAATTTAAAACTAATCATTACGTGACAATTTTTTTACCGTTTTCAGGGAAGCTATGTATGCGATTGTGCTACCGGTTTTATTGGCGACGGGATTGATTGCAAAGATGCAAATGAATGCGAGATAGGTTTGCATGAATGCAGTGAACATGCAGATTGCATCAATACCAGAGGTTCTTATTTCTGTGAGTGCAAATACGGATTCATTGGAAATGGATACGCATGTAAAGGTGAGGGATATTCACATTTTTCGTTCATATATTCGTTGATACCTATCTGATTTAAGAGTTTATCCGGGCATATCCACAAGTCGAAAATCTTGGTGCTATTTAAATCAGGCATGTAGTAGTAGGCCAGATAACCTTGCCAATATCTCATCAAGAATACGATAGATCAAAGATGTGTTTCAGGCGTATTTACGCCCCATCAATTTGTCATAATTACCGGTAGTGTGGACAAATTGAGTCACAATGCCCGGCTACCTACCAATTTACAATTGGTTTAAAACAATTTTTACAGTGACGATAAATGGCAATTGAATGGCTAGTAAATTCAGCACATCGTTTCCTCTTGTAGGCTACTTGAATTTCTTCCATTTTTGTATAACCCAGCATAAAACATGATTAGTTTCTATGCAACGTCGACGTATTCTTTTTCTTTTATCTTGTACATTTCTTGCTTCTATTATTAACTTTTAAAAAAGGATAATTTTTTTTTACAGAGCTTTTTTTCTATGTTGCCCTTGTACGCCTTACTGCTTCATACTCGTATCTGGTTGATCTTGACTGCCCTGGTTCAATATATTTCAACGAGGTGTCGCATGATTTGATGGAAGATACTTTCAAGCTTTTTCGCTCTACTGGGGACTACGTTAAAGACGTCATAGTCACCTCGTTTTCAAAAGGAAGTGTACTTGCGGAAGTTATAATTGCAACAGTCGGTAGTTCTGCCTCAGACTTAAACCGCGTGATAACATACGGCGTAGAAAACGGTTTGACAAATATGATATCGGGTCCTGCTCTTGTTATACAAACATTAAACACGTCCCTCGAATCAATGGATTTTGTAGGTGAGTCATATACTGGAATTTTAACGAAGAAACACAACTCGCAAACAAAAGTATCAAAAACTTTCTCTGGTATTATTAAACTGCAACCTTCAATGATATCGAGATACGAAGAGTTGTATAATGATAACCTCACAAATCCTGATTCCGACGTGCGTACAGAATTCGACAAAAAGTTGTCCAGAGAACTGATGTGGATGCATGGTTACAATAACGAATACATAGAGGAGGTGGAAATTAATTCAATAGGAACAATAAGCCAATATTTACAGCTTATGAAAAACAGGGTCGAAAAACCTAGAGTCAGATTCTACAAAGCATCTGTGCTAATGACGTACAATGTTTATGATAGAAGACTATATAACGACTACCAATATGCTTCTCAATATGCGATACCTAAGTTATTGAGAAGTTACGGATACGCTTTGAGAAGAGAGGAATTGACCATTGGTGAAGAAAGACAAGTAAAAGGTTTGTATTACATTGTGAATTGCTATCAGGACTATTAGGAGAAAATATTTCCCAGCTGATTCGATGGCGGAACAAAACATAATTGACAAAATGAGTCGTTTGCTAACTTAAACTTTCACTTGATTTTTTAATATTAAATGGTTTAATAAAATGAACAATACCACATTTTAATGTTATCCTTTTTTTAATTTCCAGATGTTCAATTCAACAATGACGGTTACATTCAAGTTTCTCTAACGGACGTTCGTGGACCAAATCCCGGCGAAGTACCTGACGAGTTTAAAGTAATCAAAAACACAATAATCGTTGAACATCTCATTGTGGTATCACATGAAATACTAATGATTGACGGAATTCTCCAAAAAATTGATAATGAGTTTTTAAAAAAGAACCTTCAGCTATCATCAAAAGAAGAGAAATCCATCCTATGTGTATTAGATATCACTCAGGTTTCTAAATCAGACGGAACTATTGGGTTTTATCGCGGGCTTATGCAGGAATGGAATATTGAGTCAGTGGAAGACGACAACGACATCCTCCTGGCTCAATATGATGTCACAATCGATGGAGATTCCGAAATTTTAGATTTGAACGAGCTCGGGCTATTCAATTGGTTTGACAAGGGCGTGAATGACGGAAATATTGTTGAGGACAACAAGCTTTCTTTCTCTGGTCTTCCAAAAAGTTTATTCATGGGGAGTTACACAATTGGACAACCAATAAATCAAGAAAAAAACGATAAACACTCAAAAGAATCCGAAAGAAAAGATAAAGAATACAAAGAGTTTAAATATTCAGCATCTATTTTTCTGATGGATGACGTAAGTCCCATTCCGTTACTCAATGTACCAACAACGCATGAGGTATTCGAAACAACAGCACAAGTATTCGAACCTCAACTCTTCACAGCTTTCACACGAGGTTTAAAAGATTTAAATTCAGGTGACAGAAACTGGGAAGTTAAACATATTTACATTGAAATAGTTGCTTTCCGTCACCCAACAACTAATGAATCAAAAAAGAGAACAAATGTTATTGCTGACTTCCATATTACAGTCGAGGTAACAGGCGCAATCACATCGAACTTGTTGAAAGATTTACTGAAGAGATCGTTTGATCACGCAGCTACAGAAGACTATTTTGCGGAAAAATTGTTTGTTGGTGCTCCATGGAATTTCATTGAAAAGATCGATCATGTCACACCAACGCACAAAACAACAACTGGTTTTACTCAAACTGCTACTCAGCGTGCCACCACGATTAAAGTCACACCTCGTAGTTTATCCGCTGTTCGTCCAACAACACAACCGAGTAGAATTACAACTCGTGCTTGGTTATCTTCCACCACGGAATCTGTGACGCCACAATACGATGAAGGATCGCATGACGTCACAACGGCAGAGGCAAATGAAGTTCCACTATCTACAAATACACAAGAAATATCAGAACTAGCTTACGCAATATCTCTAATCCTACGGGCACCACGGATGAGTTGGTTCGAAATACGGAGCGAAGTTGAACTCCTACCACTAAAAGCTAGGACTTTATTAATAGCGATGATGCATGATCCTGGTTCAATGCAGCATATACCGAACTTAACATACTTTTATTTAAATGCTGCTCTTGAACAGACAAAGCATTATTAAAATCATGAAATTTTATGCCAGGATTTTATAAATCTTAGTCTCACAACAAATATCGAAGCGAAATACGATTATTGAGTCCTCGAAATTTCGTAAAAATAACTTGACTTTATAGCTTCGTTATTGAAAACAATTTATTCAGACCGACGTCCTTTCACATGCTTACTGAAATCAGGTCAGGTGGTTTTTATAACTTCAAGTGATGTAAACTTTGGGAAAATGACTTCAAAAACCATTTCAATGACCTGTATATAACTTTTATCAGTTTTCGAGCTCGTAAATCAACTATTTCTTGCAATGATGTTTTGTACTTTTTTGCTATTTCTACTTTACTTTTTATCTTACCTGTTTCTTGTTCTTTTGTTACCACTTGAAATACAGCGAGTCTTTGTATGAAAGTTGTATAAGATTAAGAGCACATTTAAAATTCACCAAAATCTGAGGTTGAAAATTGTTAAGCGGGTAGGGTCAATAGAAGACATTTTGATCTTCGTAATTAGAGTAAGCGTTTGTAGATGAGATTCAGTGTTTTTACTATTGTTAAATGGAGTCTACTCATTCATGAGTCAAGACAAGAAATCAGTTGCAAAACATAACTAATCTTAACCATCTCAACCGGAACGCGTTTTTACCTTCTGCTGCTACGAATCTTCCCTGGCCTAAATTCCCAACCATAAACAATTATGTTTCCGGACGACATCTTAGTGCATGGGAAGCACTCAACTAAATTGTCTCGTCAGACATCATTTCTCTCACTTAACATAACAAACAACCCATGCGTAATGGATTTTATAACAAATGGTCTCGCGTGTCAATCGCGTTTTATTACATTTTGCTGACAGCCTAAACATTTGATTTCCGTATGAACTGTTTTGTAATTTAGTAAAAGCATTTGCGGTGTGCTCAATTACGTGTTGAGTGTTACATAGTTTTTTGAATGGAAGCAGATTCAATGATTCCGATGTTACATCGACGAGTAATACGCAACCGACGCAACAATACAACGAGGAGTTAAGTGATAGTCGTTGGCGTATTTTACTATCATGTATCCACATATACAACTATAAAAAATACGTAGATGGTAAAGCTTTTTTTACGCTTTATGCTGACCAGCGTGCTCGCAAAACCTGGCTAGCACTGTAGTGTTAAATACTTTATAATGGGTGAGTCGGATCTGTGATTCGTTGAAAAAAAATGTATCTCACGAGTAGATGTGTTTTCAGTATATCATTGTTGTATTTGATAAAGTAATCTAAGTCGCTAAAGGTATATATATATATATAAGTTGTGTTTGTTGTAGTTGTCTATTGTTTGCTGAATAGAAGAATTTGACAGATAGTTTGTAAAAAACTAGAATTGTTAGTTTTTCAACTGATATAGCGAAGAATATTAGCATAAAAGTTAATGAACAGCACATTTGAGGGCTCTCGATAAAAAATGAAAACACGATGGATGGCTTAGGGGCCGTTAGCAGTGGTGGGATTCAACCGGTTCGCACCGGTTCTATAGAACCGTCTCACGGAGTTTTATGAGATCAGCGAACCGGTTAGTATTACTGGTTACTGTCAATGACTTTTTGTCACAGATTTAATTTAATTTTTGAGCCCGCTCAATCCATCATAACCAAAATTCAAACGAACCCACACTTATGCTGTGTAGGCTATATGATATTCTGAAGTGGAGGGATTTCGATGATACTCGAACATATAATTGGTTTTTCTTGAAGCAAACGCGGAAAACAATTCTTAACAATGGTACCCAAATTTCACCGTAATACTCAGCTTCCAATGGTTTGGTTATGTATATTGCATTCGAACAGTTTATGTCATTGAACGGCTATATTTAAAGCATGAATGTTGGATTCTTATATTAACCATGGGCCGTAGTCGACGCATGCCAGTCGCGTAATTTGTTAAGCGATAAGTTCACTGACCACAAACATTTTGAAGTTGCGATATTCAATAGCTAGAACACAGATATCCATATTAGCTATCTGAGGAAAGCATGAATGAACATGATAATAATGTCGACTCATTGGTATATTTCCGCGCAATATATAACATCTGTTTCGTTTGAAAACTAATTATCGAGCAGACTGCAAACTGTCGTAGTTTTCGCTCTAAATTGCTTGTTTTTCTAAAACAGAATATCGATTCAAACCACGTCGGAATCATTTGGTTACGTTGATGTTCCCCGCGGATCAATATGTAACGAACGATGATCAAATTGCCGCTAGTTGGTGCCCAATTTAGACGGTGAGAGGCTGCATTTTCTGTGGCAGAGAAAAGTAGTTTATATCAAAACTTAGCAAGCACTAGCTATCACTTTAGGTTCAGCGCGCCGTCAGTTATTGGGACAGACTTCAGCCACATAATCCATCGATTGTTGTCAGAATATAATTAAGGAAATTTTCTTGACAATGGTGTCAAATAATATTGATGCATCTATACGTATATATATATAAAAAATATTTTCCAGTCACGACTAAAGGGATGAAGGTAGAAAACATTTGAATAATTAACATTCAATAAAACAGCAACGATGTTTAAAATCTTCACGGGGCTTCCTAGATTATAGTATATCCCTTTAAACAATACTGGCAGAATGAATCGTTGATTCCCCACAAGGCCGTAAATCCTTCGGAATCGACTGCAAAAGTTATAAATTATTCAAAGATTTTTCGATCACAGGGGACATATGCACATCGCCCGACCTTCGTCTGTTTGGTTATGTAATGGTTTGGCGCAAGAAAACGGGATGTGTAATATTTGACATTTGTAGATGAGAAACGAGAATATAACATCTTTTCAGAATGGTTAGGTCTGCTTGTTTACGTACTAACTGCTGAGTGTTATACAGTTTAATGTAGATGTAGAAACGATGCATATAAACTATCAGCATTCCTAGTATAAACTTCACGTTACATGGATGCCAAAATATTACGGTTATAAAGGCAGTCGATATCGCTGAACCAACTTTATTTACCTCATGTGGGGCTAGTAAGCTAATTATTCGCTATCTTATCAAGCGTGACTCCAGGCAACTAATCGTTTCTGGTATAAAACTATGAGATTAATATCTATGCCGTGCACGTTTTCGTAAATTTCAAGTTGTCTCCTACATTCTATTAATTTTCAGTCCTATCGCAGACGCATTTATGGATTTTTGTCAAGGTGGCCGGAAACTCAGATCCGCGTCAGTAGTAGGGTTAAAGTCATCTAATCTGGCAGTTGTCTGTTAGAAAAAATTATGAGATAGATCGTTTTATTTTGTTCTTATTTCATATATATATATGCAAATCACACGGACTTCTAAATAAAAACCCTTACGATTCGTGGATCGCATCGAACGGCAATTGTTTAGGCTGAAGAGAAGATAGATAAGAGAGATAAAAAAACAGCACGCAGTTGCCTATACCAGCAGGGCGTTTCTTTTGCGAATCGAATACAATAGCAAATGTTCTCATTTTGATTCTTTTGTTTAAATTGTATGCGAATTCGTTGATTAATTACTTCCATATAAGATTATAGAAGATTAAATTATATTATTATATATATAATCTCTTCCTCTACAGCACGGTGATCTTCCTTAGGGTTTTTTCTTAGTAGACTATAACACGAAGAGGCAGCTTCGACCACTTTCGGCATATGTAAATAGAAATTCATGTAAAGAAATCAAAGTCAATCTTTGAAGAAGGTAGGGAGAAGGAATAAATTTATTAACTTTGGTTTGACTTGTATATATCGAGATAATGTAGCATGTCACAAGGCGAGGAGAATACCCAAGCATATTTTGTAAGGTAAGTAAAATAATTTTGCTAAAATTATACGGACACAACCACATATTTGCTCTCAAATATGAAAACCGGATACTATCTACGGAAGGCCAAATTTAATCATTGTGAAATCTAACAGGTATAAATTTGCCACGGTAAAGCCAAAGTTATGGTGACTGGTTAGATTTTTCAAGTGCACTTCTGATCAATCCGTTATTTCATTTTCAAAAGGGTGATATGGAAAATATGACAAATTATTCCCTACAAAATTACGTCATCCGTGTATCATGAATTATTTACCTGCCCGACTGTTTACGCACACGTGTTCCCATTTGCGGACGAGCCTTGTATAAATAGAATGTAAAGAAAGAAATCGCATCCATACATATGTATACCTTCATATTTAAACCCCAGTTTGGAGTTTGTTATAACGCGTTTCCGGATTAAACGAAGTGTTTTGCTTTATGTATTCAGTTATAGCTGAGCTTTAGTTGCCAATACGCATGATGTGAACAAACTACTGAATTATTTATTAATCACTGAAGCCTAGCTATAATATCTACGTAACAAAAATTTGTGCATCAAATCGTAATTTTTTATTGATTACAGAAGCAAGAAGACAGAACAAAGCGAAATAAGAAGTGATTCGATATTAGCGAATAGCATACCCAAAGAAAATTCAGCAAAACGTGAATCTGAAGCAATCAAAGAAGAACGCTTACTTTCGTCGCCAATTATTCAAAATATGTTTAATCATGTTGTTCATCCTCACCCTCACCGTCGACATTACCCGCATCATCTACTCGACCACTTTTCAAAAAATTTAACTCATCAATCGCCTACATCTACTAGTTTTGAAAGCACTGTACGAACCCAGGACAGTAGCCCAGTCGATCTAAGATACCAAACCGAAACGGAGCATTCCGAAATGCTTGTCGCGAGAGGGAGCGTGAGAGCAGAGACTGATGATACAGTAGGCGGGGATAACTCTGAACGTAATATTGGATCGAGAACGAAACAAGTACCAGAACAAGAGTCGAGCGTCGATAGAGCGTACTCCAATTTTCGAGAACCTCAGCCGTGGCCTTTCTTCGGAACAGAATCTAGAGTATTACCGTCAGGAAGGCGAGTGTCGTTTCTTAAACAAGCCTGTATAGGATTTTCATTGACTAATACTAGAAACAAAGCTACAAACGATAATTCGCCTACAGTTTGTCCAAAGGCGTTTAGAGAAGCTACTTTTAGTAACACGCCTCGAAGATCTCCCATAAGGGGTGGCCCCAAAGTCTCCGAACTTAGGCAAAAATTCACTAGCACCGCGGAAAGTCCCACGAAACAGCCTTCTAGACAAAGTTCAGTAGACTTGATTAAATTCAGAAATGAATCAATGAGAGGACCAAGCGAAAGACTACATGGGAATACAGTAAATCAAGAAATAAAAACTTGTGTAACCATTATAGACAGTTCCAGTACCAAAGGAAAGAATCCTGTTCCAAAAGCATCAAGCCTACGCTCGTCCGTGAAGCCAGTTGTGTCACCTAAACCAAAAACAAAAACGGTTTCGACATCGCCAATGCGGCATAAAACAAAGCAATTTCAAAATAAATCAACGTCACCCTCTCCTACTAGAAGGAAAGAATCTCCGCCATCTTGGAAAACTACCGGAGTGGATAAAACAACTGTTTGTCCACCTGGTGTCAGATCAAACTCTCGAGGACCAAAAATTGTGGTTCCAAAAGCGGACACTCCTCCCGAGAAAGCTAAACCTATAACGGAAAACGTTGTAGCAAAAACATACAAACCCATGACGGCGCCTCCAAAACTTTCCAAGAAAGAAAACAACACAAAACCAGCGAAAAAGCAAACTCAAGTCAGGCCTGCAAAAGACGACTATTCTGCATCCTCAGATTCATTGAGCAAGGAAAGCTCATTGGTTGTTGTTGATGCTGGCGTCATAGACGCTGGTGACATCACCAGTACATACGAGGAACTAAGTGTTGAAGCCAGCGACCTTTCTGATCGGAATTTTTTGATTGATTATGGTGACCCATCTCGTTTTTACTTTCGAAATGAGTGGGAAGCGAGGATGAGGGAACTGGATGGTCATACAACGGATATGAGGGAGAAACTTTCAAAGTTTTGCAACTATGAGGAGGTGACTATTTATCATTTTCAAATTAGCGCATTATTGATTTGCCTTTTCTATCATTATTAGCAGTTAAAAACAACTGTTGACAAAAGGTTCGAAAATTTCTAAAAATCAGTTTCAATTTTAGCCTGTCATAACTCTTAAAAAATAATGCGGGACCCCTAAAAATTCAGACGATATAGAAATTCGTATAAATAATGTTCGCAAATTGGTAACTTGTATGGTCTTGACATCATTTCAAACTTGGGAGTAAATACATTTTTTATTATATATATTTTTAGATTTGATATCTATTGATTTCATCCCACGTCCACGTTACGAAAAAAATATATCTGAGTGAAAAAAGTCGTAGTACTTCATTTTTAACTAAAACGATATATACGTATACCATACACGATTTTGATACAATTATTTGTAGGATTTTTTGACAATCCTGATACTAATGTTTTGATAAAATATTTACTTTCTAAGTTTGTTAATAGCTTTGATGATTCACAAATTTACTCTTGATACTTTTAATTATATCGCATTTTTAATTATATTTTTACTCCAACACTTTATTGTTATATAATTGCAATTTATGACGCATTCGTCACGAATAATCCCGAACAAATTGGAGCAAAGCTGTCATGACTCTGACACATCATGCAATTTCACAGTCCTTATTTCATTATAAAGAAAACCATATGCCAGCTTGCATCTGATAATCACATCAGCTTATCCCAAGTCCACAATTGTCATTGCCATTAATTTCCCATGCGCATGCGATTGACACAAATCTGTAAATCAAATTTAATTTCCAACATTACTATCGCATTCTGCATTAATTTTGCTGTTGATTGGGTTTTTCTGTAATGTTGGATATATTTCTGTAACGTTTCGTCTGACCAATGTCAGATTTTCTCAGACATACACGATTTAAGACCTGAGGAAATATATTTGGGAAAATATTCAGTGAGACTCTTTAAAAATTTTATAAAACGTAACAAACTCACATATTATATTAGTAGGTGTCGCAATTTTGTTTAACAGTGTAGTACCATTGCATCATTACTCAACGATTCCCCAGAGTAATTTGACATTCGTTAGTTTCATATCAAAAACCGACAAATATTTGTTTATATATATGCGGCAGAGTATAGGCCATCGATAAAGCGCTGCAATTAGTGTGTAATAAATATCAATAATTAAAAAGCTCCAAACGCCGATAATATCGTAGAAGCAATTCACAAGTATTAAATGTAATTTAAAATGCTTCGCGTTCTTTATTATACTCAATTCAGTTTTATGCTTCATTTTACCTATTATGATCTGGGAAACAATACATTTTGCCCATCTGCGTGAACCACACAGGATCAGCCTTCTGCACTAAACGTGTCATTGAAAATGGGTGGGACGTTGAATACGACGAAAGATTTCTCGGCCCCAAAACTACTGTTGAGCCTGATATGCCAACTATCGAATTAACTGCTATTTCTTTCTCTTATCACCTATTCCATTTTGCGTGATACAGATGTACCAGGGAGCTATAGAAATCATTGAAGATGTAGAAAATATGAAGGAAGAAATGAGTGAATTATACGATTATTTCGATCATTTTGAACGCGAGGAAGACACATTGCTACAACAAGTTCAAAGGCAATTGACACAAGCAAACAGATACTGCAAAGTTTTGCACTACAGAGTGGAAAGGTTCTAATAAATTTATTACTAAATTTAATTTTAATTTAGCTTGGCTTAATTTTTTTTTTGGTGCGATGAAAAAATTTTAACGAGAGGGAAGTTACGCTAGTGCACAGATGTCGGGAAGCGATTGACATTAAACGACAGATGGTCGTGAACATATTTGAGTCTCGAAACTGTCGATGATGTACGATATTATCAAATGAAATATAGACTCTGATACAAACTTAAAACATGTAGGATTAATCGGTGCGTTTTGCAGTACCACAGGGTCAATTTGAAAAATAAACCAATTGTTTTGGAAAAGTTTAACATATTCCAGAAACTGGAGGCATTTGCATGTTGATACCCACACCGTGTTTAGCGGAAGTCAGTAATTTCAAGATTTGTTCACTCAAGAAAAGAAAGTGATTAATCTTCATGAACTTGCTTCAGAAAAGATTTTGATAATATCTATATTAAATTAAACCTCAATAAGGCAACTCGTTAAATTAATGGACTTCGTGGTTTTTTGACTTTGTGCGTGAATTCCCAAAGGCCCCAGTAACAAGGGAAGGCAGCCATTGAACGACAGATCTGTCAATAACAGACGTGTGTCCAATGTATTGTGCAGGCGCCGGCTTCGCCACATTGGGAGGCTTATAATAAGTTCGTATTTTTAAACATGAAAAAATGTGATCTTTTGCCTCGCTTGAGAAAGAGATGAATGTTATTTAAATGGAAGTTCGTCCCTTTATCAAACTTGAAAGAGATTAATGGTTCGTTCGGGTTATTATTTGTGACCGCGGTGACGTACTTGAGAGCTGTTGTCTGTTTTGAAATTGCACCATTGAGTATATGAAGTGGTATTGATGTGCAGGCGAATGTTACATAAACAAACTCGACAAAATATAGCTATTCGAACATGTATATATGATTTATCTGTGACCTTAACATTCGCGAAACTTTGTTCTTGGTTCATCATATCTCACACCACCACCTAATATACTATAATATATTTAAGCCTGGAATATTATGTCCTGGAATAAAATACCAAACTAAACATTTTTATATACTTAACCGTCTTGCACTACTTAAGTTTACTTTTGTAATTGTTATGATTACAAATTTTTTTACGTAAATATATATACTAAAAAAGCTGATGTTAACAGTTGGTCCTATTGAAAATCTGTGGTGACCGTACATTTGAACCCACGTACATTTGAACCCATGTGTATATTCGCTAGGTCAATCTATATGCGGGTGCTAAACCCATGGGTTAGGGTTAGTATGGGTTCAAATATCCGTAAAACAACAAAAATTTTCATAGGTGCAATAGTGTGCAGGTGCAATCGTCGTGGGTTCAAATGTAATGGAACCAAAATCTGTATATGAAGTGAGTAGCGAACATCAAACCAGGTATAAATCTTTGATTCCGAACAATAGGTTCATAAGATGTGGTATTTTAAGCACCTTTGTGGTCCCTGGAAGAATAATAGGTCCATTTGTGACGACAAATCGGAAAATAGATTAAGTGAAGATAATAATACTTTAAAAGGTATTTTGGAACACATTTTTTGTGTTCGTCAAAGGTTTGTGATTTTTTTTTTTGTAAATCACTACATTTCCCAGCAGACCCCAGATGTCTCGATTAAATCGATTTTCTTGTGTTTTTACGGCCTTTGTCTCGTTTAGAGCGCAACAACAACGAGCAGATGATAAAAAGGTGCACGAACTTGAAGAGGAACTAAAACTAAGCCGCCAAGTTGCCGTTTCTTTACACTGGGAACTGCAGGCTGCTGATGCCAGGCAGGCCAAGGTATGTTATTCTTGTTGAAACAACTGTTTGATGCGACGGTGCCAAGCTTCAATCGCGATTACAAAGATAATTTCATATGCGGTCCATGTGTGACCAAGGGCACCGTCAATCAAATGAATTATGCATTGTGATTATTCGCTAAGGTGCATTTCTCAGCAGACAATTGACGACACGGCTACGTAAACAGCTTTATATTCTGCGTTGGTGTTTCTAGATCCAAATTGGTAGGTCAAAATACTACTTCACTGATCAAATCATTGTGTTTGTCTACAGTCTTGAATTTATTTATCTTTCGAACCGTGATCAAATTTCGCATTTGCCGATATGAAACTATGTGTAACCTAGTTTGAAAGACCGTGACAACGTCCCAGTGCGGTCGTGATTTTTGTCCGTGTTTAGGCATAATTTCGAGATAAATTCAACCTGAATCAAGTCTACGAACTTATCCATTATCCAGATACCGTTAAAGATGATAAATGCTACTTCATTGATTCAGAATACCCGGGCTCCATTAAGATTAATTTTTGTGTTTGGACCTACATCCTCGAATTTGGACTAGTTTATAACTATATATATATATACCACTCGGACTATTATTTGAATCCAAAACCTGTTCAACAGGTTCAACGCAAAAATATAATTCTAAGTATATGAGTATAGTCGTAATACAATTTAGTATTGTTGCTATGGATCAACAAGAAATCTTATTGGAGATTTCGGTAGTTGAGAGATTCTGTAGGATTTAATTCTATGAGTATACGCCGAAATTCCGCTATTTTATATCAGTCGTGTTAGAAAGAAGTTAAAATATACCTGCCCACTTTTTATCTACTCAGTTCCCAGTACATAAGGCGAGGAAAATGGGTATTCCGTAGGCTCTATTGTCCCACCTATATCATGCTATCTTTTTTAGCTTGAGCAAGAGAACATCGAAATGCGTCACAGATTACTGCAAGCTGAAACATCACGAGAAACATTGAAAATTCAAGTCACAAGACTTCAAAATAGCGTAAGCCTTGAATACAGTATAAATTCCGAATATTGCCGTACACGAAAAACTGTATACATTTGTTTTATAGGACATTTATTGTATATTTTCACTCATGTTGTGATTAAATAGAGCTAGTTCATTTTTTTGTGTATTCAATATATTTCTTATTGTTTGTCTTCGTAGGTAGATCAAATGAGTTTACACGCACCTTCTCAAATGATCATGGAAGACAATTCAAATGGTTTAACAACAAGCGATAGTAGTTCAGAGATGAAAAGACAGCTTCAATTTATGGAAGAAAAAGATGAAGTCATGTTGTCAAGGCTGGTTGATTTGCAGGCAGAAAAAGTAAGTCTGCTGTACGCATATAATTAGATGGAATTGGAGTACAGTCTTCTTTGAAATGTCTTTAAATTCATGCCGTTTAAGCATTAAGCCCTTGCTTCAGACCGTCCAAAATAGGAGTCGAGAATTTTCCTACCAGTCGAACTGGCCTATTTTACACAAATATATGCATGGATGAAAGACGTTGTTCGTTGTGTTTCAAAATCGTCTAGAATCGTACAAAACTATATGTCATTGTTATTAATACAGCCATTAGCCAGCTGTTGAGTATCGACGGTATTTACAAACAACCACTATAGGCTTTTGCGGTGTTACAACAGTATTGACGACTAACGTTAATTAAGTTTTATAACAAGAAATTCTAATCCGATTTTTGATAATTTCACACGTGACTCAGATAAGGTTGGTAGCACTATCATGTGACTGTGAATCTAAGTTACTGCGATGTAAAGTTATTGCTATTTTAAGGTTTAAGTATGTAGCGTTTCTGTGGAAATTTGTGGTATAAACGATTAGAATGTACATGCATACACATCTTTATCACATTGCATCGTAAACACAAATTAAACTCATTTTTCTGATCTTTTTTTAGGATTCTCTTAAGGACGAATTGGAACAATATAAAGACCAATATGGCGAACTTGCCACCGTGCCATCGTCTGGGGCAAATAGACATACTGATTTGAAACTTCGACTTAAATTAGCTGAAGATCAAGCAGGATTACTTGCTAGAAAAGTAATTGAACTACAGCTGGAAAACGATAACATGATTAAAATGGCTGCTGAAAGGGTGAATATATTTATCTGCCTCTTTATTTAACTTCATATTTGATGTCAGTCGAAAGATTAAAACTATCAAATTAAATGCCTTGAATATTTTGAAAATGGTTGATGCATGAGTGTTAATAATATTTCAGGAACTAATGGCTAAAGAAGCAATGAAAAGAAATCCAAGTGTTAGTGATCTTCAATTTTTAGAAGACGAGAGAGAATCACTCAGACTGGCTTTGGATGAGATGGAGATAGAAAATCAAAAGTTGGCCGGTACGTTAACATACAGTTCCTTGGAAGATGAAGGAGCTATGTATTATTTTCAGTATTGTTGAGAGTGTTTCTCGTAATTTAACTTGATTAGACTCATATCTTTCTTCAGCTGAACTTCTTCGTTATAAACAAGCTGTTCATCGCCAACTCCATTCCAATTCCATCTCTTCCGAATCACCGCTAGATGTCGGCGTTATGCTCAGAGTACCTCGAAGTAACGATAGCATATTTGAAGATGAAAACAACAACAAAACTTCTCGTTCGCACAAGGTTTATAAATTTTATAAATGTAGTATTTATTTAACAATTCTCCATACTCAACATTGTTAAATAAGACAGCTGTTTTGTATAGCAGATGTTATTGAACGTAAACAAAAATATTAGTTTTCAGTAGGGACAAGTTGACATCGATATAATATCACGGTTATCACAGTTAAACTATTAACACTATCTTGTTTATATTTTATTGGGCGCTCCAGAAGTGTGTGTATTAAAATAGGGGTAACTAATTTTGTTCGTCTACTTTACATCAAGTTGTGTAAAGAGACCGAAACCTATGCGCAGTGGGTATATTCACTTGACTAACACAGACAGTCCCCGAACTCGTAATATAACTCGTATAAGGAAAATCGGAATAAAATTATGGCCTAACTCTAACCCGGCACACACATCACGGAAGTACCGTTTGTTGTACAAATATTAAAATTTAATTTTTGATCTTGATATTACATTGAGCTTTGTCACCAGGCCATAACAATTTCGATGATTTTGTCGATCACTCTCGACATTTCAAACTGGATGATTAAAAATTCAATGAACAAAATCATTTCATTTGAAGTTTGTTGGATTTGAACAATGAATATGAATATTTTTAAACTGAATAAATATTTTAAATTATGATGCAGAGTGATTCCAGTCACCATGATTCGATGTCAGAGCATATAGGAGGAGATCGCAAGAAATTGCGGCCACTGTCTCTCACATCTCCACTGAACCAAACGTCAAATCAAAAGCGCAGCAGCAAGATGTCAATATCCAGAACATTGTCAGATATTGCCATTCCTTTGTCCCCAGATACCAAAAGTCAGTCTGTTCAAATTACGCCAACTATAAGTAGCAATACCCCACAAGGTATGAGTATGGCCAACTATTTTAATTCGTTTTTGATCTTGTTAGTTTATAACCACAGTGATTGCCAACACAAACAACAGTCCAACTATCTAATTCAAAATTAATTTATAACGAATAGAACTTAAATTCAAATTGAAAATGATAGATATATTATTCATTTTAATGTTAATTACATCTATTAAACTTTGTACAGGACCAAAATCAACAACTACGACAAGTTGCCGGAGAAAGAGTTTTTGTCACAAATGTAAACGGACTAAAAAACTAAAGATGGTTGATGTAGCTATTGAAACTGAAAATGAGTACAAAACTACAAAACAAACTCCAGTCAAAACGTTTACAAAATCTGTTGCCACCTGTACACATCCTACTGCACAATTATCCTCGCGGTCACAAGCCACTAGTCCTATTATTACAAACCTCCAGAGCCTCTTCCAGCCAGCTCTGGATGTTGTCACGCAAATAAGGCAGAGAAAAAGATCGATGAAATCGGAAGCGACCAGTCCCATAAGAGGAGTCACTCCGTCCACGTCTAGTTTTGCATTATCTCCTATGAACAGTGGACCAAGACCGCACAACGCATTACTTGATGAAATGAGGAAGCAGCTCGCGAATGTCAGACACATCGCTGAGTCTATGGATAACGTTGTAAACGTTGAAGCCATGGACGTGGAATTGGAAAGGAAAGGTAGAGAACTGGTTAAAGCGGAGTGTAAAAAAGTAACAGAACGCGTTCTGCAGAAGACAAAAATTGCGAAATTAGCGAAATCACTTCAAAACTATGTGAAAGAAATGGAAGTGTCGGTAGCTGATGAAAGTGAAAGAAGTGAATCGTTAGATGGCGCTCTATCAGAAGTAAACGGCTGGAACCTACACGGCAACGCCGGGGTTTTGCCAGGTGTTGATGCTGGTGCTGCAGAAACTTCAACAATCACTCTTTCGTCCTCGACAGATGACCTAATGTCATTAGAAACTGTCCGATCTTTTGCAACAAGAATACGCAGTAATTCTATCAAGGAACTAGGTTTAGGGGTAAGTTTTTTACATTTTGAAATCGAAAATACGAAAAAATACCTTAATCTGTATTTCGTTCCGGCATAATATATTGATGTCCCTCTTCCAAATAATCTATATTTTGATGGAGTAACAGTTAGTATGTAGTAAGCATTTCAACACTTATATATATATATGTTTTTTACACGAGAAAAAGTTCAAATAAACGTGTTTCGATTTCGCAAATACCACATACCAAGTAAATTTGACAAAAGAGTTGTGGCTCAAATAAGTATGATAATTTAATAATCAAATATGATGAAAATATACTTATTTGCATCTATACTTTACAGATTTTCGAGGGAATCATACTCTTGGTGATGTCTTACGTTCTGTTAACTTCACTTCCCGCTTCAGCGATGTTTAAAATATGCTTCTTAATATTAGTATTTTTCGTCTGTTGAATTATCATTGTAATGCCCGATATCAGAAGAATAAAGAAGTAAACAAAAACTTTTTCGATGCAAGAGTAGCATAAATAACATTACAAATAGTGAAATCAAACTTTGTTTGTTTATTCAAGTTGCTTGCCTCATTTTTTCTTAACAGTTCACTTTTATGTTTTGTCGTCCTTCATTCTTTGGTGCTGACACTTTTTCACATGTGAGATGTGAAATCAAAGATAGTGAATATGTTCTTTTACATAAGCTTTATATGCCTGGCGCTTTCCAGCGCTCAGAATAGAATAAACGTTACACAAAAATAAAATACAGTATGTGGATTTAATGTGTTTTCGGGATTTATTCTTCGATATGTGTATTTATGTTAAGCATGTTATGACCATATTTTAATTTCTAATATGGATGTTTAACAATGCATACACACCGTCATTTGGTTCGCGCCTCTATCTGTTTCTCTGAATATTTCAGTCGCGGTGAAGACAGAAATTGTGAATTGATTCTCGAAGCTGCACAAGCGTGATCGCCGAGGCGTGACGTTGTTGATTATTATGTAAGATTGGCCCAGGTCGAATTTTCTCTTGCTATTTCTAGCGAATTCATTCGTAGGATTTTTTAGACTACAGTGCTTAGGGGTATTTGAGACCATTTTTCATTATATGTCGAGACCAAGTTCGTAAGAATGAAGTTTATGTTATCGCTTTCGTTAGTCATGATTTTCGGTTCCAGCATTTTGTTGCCTGACAGCTGCTCGGCATATCCATTTCACGCGCAGTGCAAGTTGCAGTGGTCATGGGCTGGTACGAACTGTTCAGTTATTCACGACGCTTTAAAGCGTCAGGCAAATAAATGGAGCAGTTCGGACAACTGCAAACAGGGTGGAGAGAAATGTCTTTACAAGGTTGTCAGTGACGAAGGTGGCCAGTTGAAGTTGACACATACCACACCGGTAAAAGAGTACGTCGACAGCATTACGTTCACCTTCTACAGTTCGGGGATAGAGGATTGTGCAAACTCATTAGGCGCGACCAATGATGCCGATCGTCCAAAACGCAGCGTCACCGTGATTGAGAAAATACGCTTCATTCCAACTGCTGAAAATAGCTGCACAGTGAGTGGTTACTCTAAATCCAACGTCTGGTACGCGTTTCTGGACTATGGTACTAACTATTGTAACATGCGAAACCTCGCCGAGGGAGCTGGTCTTGTCGCTCTACCGAATTTTAAAGAGGAAACTGACGATAGCATTTGCACCATGTATTCTAGTGCAGACTGTGAAAAGTATTGATACCTTATGAAGTCTATGGCATAACAGAACTCGTGACAAATCGCAATTTTCAACATAAATAATTTCGAGTCTTTTTTTATCGTTCTTTTGAATTTTTAGTATTAGATGATAAAGATGCCTGCTCCGTTACACATTTGTCAAGTTTTCGTCTTCATATACATACCATTTATACGCTAGCCTAGTCCTATACATATGAAAACCCTAAATGAAGAGAATTGAGACGTTCATAATTTTGCGACCTTGCAACAAATCCCTAAAAAATGAAATCCCTGTCTATCTCTACATGCTTGAAAGGATGTAGTAAGATTTGAAAGCAAAACATAAAAACCAAGGTGGGGTATAGCTTTGGACGTCCACAGAACCGTAATATCTGAGAAAATACTTATTATGTTAAACTCGTTTTTATTGCCGCGGTAAGATATACGAATAAAATATTGATAAGAAAAAACTATGAGGCGACGATGTTGGTAATTTTCTGTGTTCATCATAAACAAAATCTTTTGTATTATTCTCCATCCCTCGTGAGATTTTCATGGTCTGCGGGCGAAGCTGGAACACGGCAGACTGTTCGTTCAAGTCATGGCGAATAGTCAGTCTTGCTTGCAGTACTATTCTTTCTAATACCTAAGCTTTCATCTACATGCGCATGATGCAGCAACCATGTCCTTGTATCTTCTGAGCACCACGTAATCATTTTGGTCGAAATATAGAAGGTTGATATCATAGAGTTTATCTGGAGCACAACATGGCATGGCGACAGGTTGATTGCCAAGTCCAAGTGTGTGCATTATGCTTTGTACTGTAGCGTGATTACTAGGGTTAAGATTTTGTCCCAACGGAAATGAACATACACCCTTGCAGTGATATGCATTGTAGCCCTGTGGGTGAATTATCCATCCTGACCAACCCATTTCTTCAAAGTTGACGTAAAGTGGATATCTTCTGCAGTTTCGAGACACCGTACCAGATTTATTCATATCAGAAAAAGTGCTGTGAGACTTGCTCCCAGCTTGAGAAGTAGGCTTTTCCGAGCTGTCTGCAAAATAGTCATAATCATCTGTGTTTGAAGTATATGCATCATTCCAAACATCATCGCTTTCAGAGTTTCTATCGTATCCACGATATTGGTCAACAGTGAAAACTTCGCTATTTCTTTGAGTGCTTTCAGTATCTAGTTCCGTATTTTCGGTCACATCGCCTTGGCCGCGATTTCTTCCTCTTCTTGTTTTTCCATTGTTGCCTTGTTTCTTTTTGTTATTTTCTTTTGCTACAGATCGCTTTCGTCTTTTACTCTGCTTCTTTATATCCGTATTTTCATCTCCTATATCGATATTCAGTCTACCCGATTCATGCAACTTGAGTTGTTTCAGTGCACCTACAAGAAATAATTACAACAATATAAGTTCAAACCCCTTTTTAGAAGATTTGTGTCATTTGTGCCCAATATGCAAATGTGACACATACTTAATGATTTGATGCTTCGTTTTGGCAGTGTGTCTGTTTCATTGGAAGCTCCATTTTTGTTATTTGCGAACAATACTAGAATTGGCTGAAGACTTTCTCTATCGAGGACGTTTTCGATAACTTCGCCGTTCATTGTTATCATTTCTGTCATCAGACCGAAATTTGATCTTTCCGATATCATCCATTCTTTGACCTAAATTACAAGGGATGCGATTAGGGTTGATATGCGATTGTGAGTAAAAAAGTAAAAATATAGGCATGAAAAACTTACCGATTTCAATATGGGGAATATATGCCAACCACTGTGATGTGAGTGAACTCGCCTCGCAGAGATGAGTCGCTTGGTGGGTGTCGAAGACTCGGAGTCAGACATCATCTGTTCAGAGCAAAATACACGTTTTAGTTATGATTTTACAAATCAATGGGCGCTCCGGAAGTATTCGTACCAAGAACCTAAACAGCCCTAACCCGGTACATATACTATGCGTCATCTTGGTACGAATACTTCGGGAGCACAAATCAATGTTTGATTTCAGTCGGCGAAACATAATGCTTTAAAACTTGTTTGCCAAATATGTGGTGATGGGAGGACGATTATCAGGTTCGGTTCGATTTGGAACAAGAGGATTTCCCACATACATGTGGTATCGTTTGATTCAGTCATTCTATTAACTTTCATTAAATAAACAGTAAACCATATTTTATGTAAAGAAGAACCATATCTCTAAAGAGATTCACAGGGAACATCGGTTGTATAACTATCACTGCAATAGTGGAAGTGTACCTACTTGATAGATTTTGATAATATATGTGCTTGGGTATGCATATTGCCGACGTCTGGTTTGCTGGAGAAGGTTTTCGTTCATCTTTCTTAGACTTCGTTGACTCTGAAATAAATGTAATTCAGCGTCCAATATGATTTCATCCTCGGTGACCGCGCTCAAGTTGAACTTGCAGAAGTGAGATCCCCTTTGATCTGAAATGCGCAAACTTCTGTAAGTCGCCTGCCTTGAATTGATCATCTCAGAAATCCAAAATTATAATTTCACACTATTAAAATAGGTTAATATAAATGACTGAGCAAATGACAAATTTGTGGGAACAATAAATTCTTCTATTGCTATGTCGTAATTTCAAAACCTTTACAAATAAAAAATATGAAACTAAATTATGACTATTTATTGAAACTCACCTATATTTGGTATACTTCTAACAGTATCTGCATCTAATAGTCCAGGAGATCGCGTTATTCCGTTATGATCTGCTATCGCGTTGTATAAGTCAACCATGTACTTAGGTGGCTTTTTCGTCTTTTCGTGCATTGCAAACTCTGACAAGTTTTCTGGCACCTTATAAAATAAATTTGTTATATTAGTATGATATTTATCAACACAATATGATTCATTAACACAAAAAGCCACTCCACTCCCGAAAAACTAGAAAATCTTAAAATCTGGATAAGTACGATCAACTGTCTGATGCAGCTTTGTTTGCATACGTTAAAATTTATTGCAAATCAACTTACCTTCAAGCCTAGCACGCCTAGAAGTTCCTCCATCGCCTTGGTTCGCGATTCTCCCTCGTCAAAAACTGGATACAAAGTAGATTCGTAATCACCAACTGGCCATTCCATGCGATTTTCAGATTGAAAGTTATTTCTGTCTACTAAAACTGGTACCATGCGTTTCTGCTTCTTCTCTGGTACGTTCGGTCTACTTTCCGTCAATGCAGCAAGAAGTATGAAGTGGAATATATGCCCGAATGTTTCCATATTAACTGATCTACTTGTATGCACTGAATAAAATACAGAACAATGTGAGGTATTTTCCCATACAACTAGGATGCTGTGAATGACAGCGGGTAACCGAGTCTACGTTTATAACTTCTCTACGTGCTATTTTTCTGTTATTCTTTCTCGGAGCTTAAATTAAATCCTCACTTTTATCCAAATTCATTCTAGTCTAATCCTATGGAATTAATTTCCTACTACAAGAGATTAAAACTGAGGCAAATCGCTCTATTATCTAAGCCGTTTGCGGTCGTACCTCAGGTGTGAATCCGCGGCGTGTTCGCACCTGCGACCAACCGGGACTAATTTCCACCTTGGCTAAGATGATCCCCTCGAATAACAAACGGCAACGAAAGATCGCGGTAACGACTTCTTTAACGCAAACTACATTGTTCTAGATCTAAAAAACAAAACAAAAAAAAACGATTCCGTTTTTGTTAATCCCATTTAGAGCGATCTATCGTTTTTCGTATTATGTTATGCAGTAGGCCGTAATGATTTTCCAAATCTACATCGTAAACCCTGCCTTCATTAAACATCAGAAACAATGGAGGCGTGAAATGACACCCTCCGGTTGTTATTTACTTTGATCAAAGCTGTCGTAATCAGCTTCTTCTTATCTATTTAATTGCAACGTTAGGTTCGCAAAAATGACAATGTTTTTGTAACAAATTGCTTTGTCCTGTGATGTTTAATTAAATTTGTTCAATATGCGAGAATAAATTATCAATAGGAATATAGTAACATGACATAAAACAATGAATGTGTATTCTTAAATCTAAGTTCTAAATGCTCCTTATATATTTATTTTTCTTCTCATTTCGTCAAGCTTTTAATATTTTTGGCAAATATAATACCTACGTAAGTATATATTCTTGGAAATTTAATAAATGCAAATTAATAAGAGTGGTTTTAGATAAACGGCTATACTTGGGTCTTCTTCTTTAAAGATGATAAAAAAAGATTTCTACTGACTATTCCATTAATTCAACATCTAACACTAATTTTCAAATGACTGCGACCTCTAACATTAGAAACATATCGTGAAAACATATTGCCAAAATATGTCATCTTCAAAATGTTGATATCTTCCATCATCAACATCATTTTCTGAAATGGCAATCTTGCCATTTATATGGAATGTTTATCTACTATGCCGTTTTGTATTTTGGAATACTTGTATGACATCTGCGTTAGATCTACAACCTTGTTATATTTATTGTACTTATCTTTGTTTAATTTGTACTTGACATAACATAGATAATCTAGTTCTTACATAGATAAATTATACACTTATTTCTTCATTAGTTGAATGAATCCAAGCTGTGCTTTTGAAAAATTCATGCGATTATTCAGTTTTCCAAGTTACCAAAGTGCGTTTTTGTTTAAATATAAATATCCCATCAAACGTGACTCGACGATATATATAATCGAATAGTTCGATCTATATATGACCTCGTCTGACAAATATTAGTTTAATAACCAAAATCAAACGATTGTAAAATAAAAACCATGCTACATTTTTCAAATATTGTAATGATAACTCTTAGATATGGCAAAGCAAACACCGCCAAATGAAGTCGGTTAAACACCTGTGTGTAGCTTTAAACAGGTGATGTATTATTTGCGTATTATAATGCGTTGTTCGAATTCTTATGAATTTTTCTATTGTGTTGACCCATTGGCATTTTATAAATTTGTACTTCCGATACATTGTGTATCAAAATCGCGCAGGTGCTATTCCATTATACAGGAGAAAATATCGTTCTATTAATATATTATGTAGCAACGTCGTTGGTAAGGCCCGTAGTAAACAACTAATAAATTTTGTCTGGGACAGCTGAATGGGCAAAATTCCTACATCAAAATAGACTGATCAGGAAATGGAAAATGTCACAACTTATGGCTGGAATTCAAACTCAAAATGCTCAACTAGAATCCATAATTGCTGATACTTTTAGCACGTTAAATTCAGAGCAGATGTACCTTACGAGATATCAATAGATGTACAACATTGTAGGATATGGCTAACGTGTAAAATTTTATTCTAATGATAATTATTGAAGGAAAATACGTTGGATTATTTAATTCTAACACAGAAGATTTTTTTGTCTTGAATGAGAACGACAACAGATTATTTTTCTCTTGAAGAAGCCAAAATTCCAGATGTAGCTAATTATCAATATCGTTTGTGTTCCGATTGCGCGTAGCCATCACACCTGTGTTAATAAAGGGATTTGGCTGATAATAAATCACGAATCACGAGGTTAATCACGAATGCCGATGTAATTATCAGATACTATTATTTAATTGACCCGACATTTACAACCCCCAGGCCTGCTAATCGAGTGCGAATATATTTGTTGTCCGAGAAATACCACGTTGAATTTTTGTTTCAACGATTTCGACCAATTTCATTCAACTGATAAGTCCAATTCAAATTATTCTAAAATTAGCAAATTCCCAATAGTAAACGCATCCGTACGTGATGGGTTAGCGCTTTGATACATTTCATTCGTATACTTGATTCAAAGGGCCAGCTGAACAACTCTAATCTTCATTAAAACATCCCAATCGAAAAACAACAACATTATTGTGGTTATCAAATTTATTAAATTCATCTAAAGGGTTATTTGTCTTCTTTCGTTTTGCTTTGTTGCTTTTTGCGCCACCTCGCAGCTGCAATATCCAACGTCGAACTTCGCCCTCCATAGAGTTTGTACGAAGATTCCTGGTATCCGACTAATCTTCGAAGAAGTCCCAGATCAAATGCTTCATGTACATCCGCATTTTCGAATTTGTGTGACAGATGTCTTTTCTCCATCTATATTTACATACGAAATATTGTGTACCCTGGTCGGCGCACATTTGACGTCTGCAATCTCCAGCGCCATCAAACAACGACTTTTGTCTCCTTTCTTATGTTTGTGATCTTTTACGACGCATTTCTTCAATGAACCACAGGAACCCACGCATTTTCCCACATCTACAACCTGGAAAACGATATTTCATTGTTATTTTGTGCGGCAGAAAATCCAGCTCATTTTTGAGTATACGATTTTGTACTGTTAATCAGAATACCATTTACAGGCACATTCAACATCATCCGTTATTTCCCAACAGTTACCCACATGAATGATAGATATAATTACCTTGGTTTTAGTCGCCATTCTCCCTTTTCCACGTGTTATAAACTCAGTGACGGCGACATTGTGATGCTGCCTGTAGCAGGCTTGCTCACAGTTGCATCCCGTTACAACCTCGATGCTGATAATTCCGTTTGGTCCCGGGATGGAATGAGTTTCCGTTCTTACTTCTCGACAAACTTTGTGATCTAAAATCAGACAGTAGTCGTAAGTATTGATATTAATGGCATCGGAATGAAAGTACTTTGGTTATAAACTCACGTTTTGCATTTTTACAACCTCCAAGGCATTGACCAACATCAACATTCGCTTCAAATTTTGTCCCGGGGAAGAATTTTTTCACTTTTGGAACGCGTTCACAAGATTTTACCACTTCACGACATTCACACGATTCAATGACATCAATGAACTGTGGCCCGTTATTCGTTGTCATTGCTTCAACTCTCATCATTGATGGACTGCATTCTCGTTCGAACCCTCCGGATTTTGAACAAACGTCATTCTTTGTCTGAAAAATTTTAGTAAATGTTGCTAGCTATGACTACCAATTACTTCGCTATGTAAAAATTGTAGGTCGTCATTCCTCATCCCAAATACAGTAATAACAACATGTCCAATCAAAGATTTTCCGTGATTGCAGTATCTTGCAGTTGCAACTCTGCGCTGTATCTTCACTGCGCTCTAAAAGTGTTTAAACCATATATCAAACTTTTCGATTGTCTGATGGTAAAACACAATGCAAATAATTTGAACAATATATTGACAATAACCTTTTTTTCTAAAATTCGTTCCAGAACACTCTGATAATCGTTTTCATCATTAACATGACAAGACGTCACGCAGCGACCAACGTCAACCTTGACTTCATGTCCGGATGTATCTACAAAAAAAGCGATGAATGTCATTGAAATATATATGCTTCATATTTTATTCAATTTACAAAGCACAAAATGTGAGATTAAAAGCGTGAGCTTACTTACCGTGGCCGAGAACTTGAATTAAAGGTGATCGCCTGCAGCAGACTGTTCGATGAGAACTCGATGCTGTAACTGTAAAACAAATAATAATTGAATGCCGAATTCTAAAACAAGTTCAAATTTTGAGTCATAGTTTAGATTAAAACTCACCGCTTGATAGACAAACAAATACAAGACATAAGACTGATGTGCGGAGATTTCTATCTTGTGTATTCATCCTTGTCAACTACGTCTTTGTAGATATTGCAGAATTTTTGATATATGGTGGCATGTTAGTGATGATGCCGGTTAAATACTCTTTTTGCAATTATGCTGCAGACTGAATGTCTCCGATCAATTATCGTCGTGTAGTATTAATGCAGCGACAAAGCAAAAGTCTGGCCGATTTGTCGTCTATCCGCCAGGCGACTCGAGTCGAAAACAATAAAAGCAGACAGAATCACGTAGCCAGTGAGTAGACCAAGACGCCGACGACGTCTAAATTGCTGGACAAATCCGCAGCAATTAGTTACAACAAAACACATGTCGCGTGTCAGAGTAAAGAACATCCTATTTAGTGATCCATCAACAATTATCAAACCAACGATTTAAATTCAGACGACGCCACTGTGTAAGTCAGGGTCGTCCAACTTTTTCGGCCGAAGGACCACATGTAGTTTACTAATAATTGCGCGGGCCACTGAACATGGTAGTTATGTTCTAGTTTTGCTACACTGACTACAGGTTAATGAAAAAACAAACGATACCCTCACACCAAACTTTCACAATAAAACTGTTGTTTCCCAACCATTGCGCCATCAGTGGTTATTCCCAAAAGTTTCACTAAAGACAAGCCAAGACGCTTGATCATTTGTACCACAGCTCCCAACAAATCAATGCCTCTAGTCGAGTTATGGTCTGTCAGGACGGGCTATTTGTGCAAACACTTCTTTTATTTCCGGACGTAAAACATTGGCAACCTGAACAATACATAATATACATTTCTTAACGAATTTTCGATCTCAGAATAGCTTTGATTGTTTTACGATAACATCATATAAAGTAGTAAAATTCCAAGTGTGTAAGCGACTATGGCACCTGTATCGATATCTCCCAGTTGGTTTCGATTCAAGATGGCACTCATGGCTCGTTTGAAAGGGCTGACAGAGCCCATTTCAGGAAAATAAACAAATCGTTTGTATCAGATCTTTGTATACTACATCACTAGAAAAATAGTTTTACTCAATTTTTTTTATTCAATTCTGAAAAAATACAGCGCCACTCGAAATGCTTCCGCGGGCCACGGGTTGGAAGACCTTGGTGTAAGTACTAAGACGTCCGTGAATCTTTATTCACAGATTTGTGCTATGTATGCTGCAAAATATCAGTTCCATAATGCAGAATATTCAATTTATTTATTAGGAATTGGTGAAAAAATATGAGCATTTTGCCAAGCAATAAAGTATTTTCCACCTCAATCTCATTTTCAGGAGGACCTATTTATTGCTGCGGCATTCCGTTATCTTCGTTATTTGGATGCTGTCATGCTGATATAATACTAAGTTATAATTCAATACTCATAAGGACTTGCGAAAGACTGAGTGAGTCATCCAGTCAGCGACATCTTGTAGCTGAATTCAAGCAACACATATGGCAAAAAATGATTTGTGAGAGAATGTTGTGAATAGGATAAAAGGCAATACCGTTTTTACGAGATGTAATTTTGCCCGAACAGGATTTTGCGATAAGGTCGTATTTCGTAATTGGAGTTTTGCTTAAACAAGATTTTATGTGATTGTAGCATGTAATAAAAAACCTTTACGACGAAATAGTTTTGAAGTTACGGGAATTAAATTTACTCCGAACGAACATTTACTGTAGGCTGTAGGCCTACTTTTGTGAGACAAGACAGTTACAATACTGTTAGCTTGGGCGAGATAGTGGTTCGTGTTTATAAATGAGGCAATACTGATGTTTTTTTATTTCAAATACTTTACTGTGGTTCGCACCACAAAAAGTAAGTTCAAGAGAATCGGAAGTCTTAGATATAGTTAAATATTATTTGTGAAGAATGAATTTAACTCAGCGGTGCATTGATCCACGTCCATTGTTTTAAGATAGTTATTTCATTAGAAAAATTAATATTAATTTCGCACTGCTGTGCAGTATGGTTCAGTATTTTTTTAGCATTCTGATGTTTTGTGAGAAAAATGTTGCACAAGCACTCTGAACGAGGCTTCAAGCAAGCATCTACTAACAGGCCTGTCTATCAGTTCATCACGCGTATTGTAAGAGTGCGCTGCTCCATAATCAGTAGTAGTTTATTGCGTCTATCTTCGCCTCGACATTCGATTGAAACACATTTTTTCTTCATTGGTTGTAATCTTATTGAACTCGATATAACCGCCACAAAAAACACTTCTGAATTCTCAATGTTTTGTTAGGTTTTTGTAAGCACGCTGAAGGACTAATGTACACTCTACCGGGGCTGATTCCATCAGATTATTTGGTTGGGCAATCGACGCCGGGTTCAATAAAATACTTATTCAATTTTCCAGGTATAAGTTGTAATAACTAAGATCGTAATTTTCCAAGTCTAAAAACGGACAATTCATAAAACGGCTGAAGGGGGTCGTCCTGCCGTTAACATTAATTTCCATTATCAGGAAGGAACGATTATTACTGAAGACAACGTCGGGTAAGTAATGTGTTAATTGTTTTTTGCTCTAAACAAGTTTTGAAACCGGAGAGTATTTGCCCAAACTTTGCTTTGTTTCACAATCAAACGCCATCTTGAAAATGATTACTTTCTATTTTAATTCCAGGCAGAGGACGGATGTTCACGCCGCGAATATTCATCAGATTGTCGTCCCAACAGCGGGTATGTATATCCCCAACCTGAACAGTCTTTCCTATATTCTCAGTAGTTTGTTGAAATATATTCAACTAATTCTCAGGAAACTCTCAATCTGAAGATACTCAGCCGGACACGCTGCAACATGATTCGATTTCAGCAGAAGTTCTCAAAGAATCAGAGGAAGACAAAGTAAAAAGTTCAAGTTCTGACAGAGGTCAGTTAATCACAATGACTTTGCAGGCCGAACACCTTGGACATGATTTATTAATAAATTCCAACACGGGTTTGTTTGTATATCGTTTTCCGGATAATGAGACGATTTTCTGGACCAAATTTTTATCTGATTTACCTGGGTCGTCTTATTGAGCGGCTATGTCTAATTTTTTTTGTCCGTGGTCAGCTTTTTTTTCGCATAAAGCCCCCTCAAGCATGATTGGTGATAACTTTATCTTTGGAGTCTGCCAATCACCACTACTGTTATTTGAATTTGTACTGCCCAGCTGCTATTCTTTTTAAAAACTTAGTGGTAATGCGATGAAGTCCGATATCGGAACTTCAAAACGAAAAGGGCGATTACGAGACAAAGTGATTCACGACCCTTCGACTTGCCGATTCCACAAATAACCACACCTAGAAAAACATGTCAACTAACCCTTGAACATAGTGGTATACTTAAGAGTAGAAATATGCATAATAAATCCAGTTTCTCACTTGTATGGGTCACTTTCTTCTATTAATCCAGAATATTTCTCCTCTCACAGGATTGAACGATCAGACAACTGCCCCTCGTGACGTCACTGATAACATCGGAAGAATGAATCTGACTGAAGGAATGCATTTCGTCACATCCGGTAAGCATGTTCAATCAAAAACAACATTTTTTTCCGCTAGTGGGACAATACTCTCTAGCTAGCTTTATACAAGAAGCCACTCATATATGCAGAGCCATAATTAATATTACGGACACTCTGTCCCTCCCACCTAGTCAACAATACGAGAAATTCAACTGAGTAATTGTCTCCTATTGATAACCTTGTGAGAATGAATCTGACTGAAGGGACGAATTTCATTACATATGGTGAGCAGGGTAAATCATAGATATACCGTACTTCTGCTAACGCTAGCCATTGTAAGATTGTAGGTGGGCATGAGCGGCAATCACATACACCAGGACTCGAAGTAGAAGTCTTTTTTTTTTTTCAGAGAATCTACGACGATTGATTAACAAATCCGAGTTCTCGAAAGCGCTGAATATTTTACAAGATATTTCAATTTCTCAAGAACAACAATTCATGATGTCAGAATGCTACTGTCAACTTGGGATACCGGATAAAGCCTTGAGGTGCATTGAAGCGTTACAATCAATAATGACGTCGTCGCCAAAACCTAGTGTAGATGACGTCATCAAATTAGTTGAAAATTACATTGCTGATTCGTCTCATATTCGTGCGTCGATTTTACTTTCTTGTTGTGCTATGTTGTATAAGTTCGATTCGAATCCGAATAATTCGGTTGTTGGGATTAGGGATTGCTCATTGAAATGTCGTGAGCTGATCGAAAAGTTGGTTGGAAAGGGGGATAAAATGAAAGTGATTGCAAGAGATGTTGGTTTAAAAATAATCACTGATATGTTGATGGAGTTGAAATCAGTATCAGGAGCTGATAAGAATACGAAGGCGAATATGGAGGCGAGATGCTTGATTAATGTTGGTGTTAGTTACGTTAAAGTTGGTAAATATAAAGAAGCTATCGGGTTTTATAGTGAAGGTTTGGATTTGATGAATCAAACGTTTGGTTCGAACGCTGAAAAATATAGAGTGTTTGGGGTTAAACAACATTGGTTATGCGTATGATTATCTCAAAGATTATTCCAAAGCTGAATCGTTTTATTTGCAATCTCTGGATGGGTATAAGAAAGTTGAGGACTGGTCGAAGGATAAGGTGAAACGGGAAATGATAAAAAATACAAAAACAAACTTGGAAATCACGCGAAATAAAATTAGTCTCCGCTCTTTCAGAACAATATTTCATTAGTAGTCGTAGTGATCATATCTTAACAATATGTAGAATGTATAAATAACTGTTGATTTGGGAACTGTATATATTTCTTGTGCATTGTAGCGAATCGTCCAATGAATTTTATATCACGTGATTACCTGCGTTTCTCTGTTTTGTTATATCAATTAAATGAATATCAATGAATGAGACTTTAGTTTTTCAGGAATATTGTATTTTTAATATGTAATTTTGCTATTTCTAATATAAAATAGATTTTATATATTTATAGCAATATTAAATTCATTTTGGGCCTTGATGATAGTTATTGCTCCATGGCCCCCAGCTTTGCGAAATTTCCAAGTTCTCAGAATTATTCAGTCAAATGGAAAGTTTTGTTCGTTACCCCTTTAGTAAATTCCCTTGAATAATCTCAATTTATGTACTTTTAGAAAAACGCATCAAGTTACTGACTTTTCATAGTTAATCTCATTAAAATTTTATGGACTCATTCAAAGCATGAAATCTGACATTTGACAGCAAAGTCTTAGTTACAAATCTTCCTACAAATTATACTGATTGTATTAGTCGCTCCATTTTATATGGATGTCCGGGTACAAGCTTGCCTGTCATTGATCCTGATCTACCTGACAAATGACCGACAACCCATGCCAGGCAATTTTCATTGATACTGATTGTATTATAATAAATTGCATAAAATTTAATGTTATTTCAAGGTAATTCAAGTCAGATATTGTAATTTTACTTTAATTCATTGAGTGTTTTTATGATTTTTACCTGTCGTTTCACTTTAGTTCAAATAAGAGCAACTACTATTGTATAGTGATGCGATTCACTTACTGTTATTATATAATTATTCATGTCAGATAATGTAATTTTACTTCAATTCATTGAGTGTTTTTTATGATTTTTAACTGTCATTTTACTTTAGTTCAAATAAGAGCAACTACTATTGTATAGTGATGCAATTCACTCGCCATCCCATATATTTCACAGATTGTAAGGAATTGGGATAATAAGAGCCAGTGGAAAATTACTTGCTCGAAATTCTAAATCTTCAATAGGAGTGAACAATATATCTACAGTCTACTCACCTTGTGACGTCATCCATGCTCGATTACAGCTCAGTTTCATTTCATGCCTTCAATATTCACAGTCGACCATGCTTGGCATATGAATAAGTCCAAGTAGAATCCATAGATATGATCTAGGGCCTGACTAATGGAATGAGAAGAACCATTACGGAGTATAGATGGAGAAATAGTACTCCTGTAGGTTGTAAACCAAGATGGCGGACGCTGGAACGTAGTTCGTGTACCAGGTTAGGGTTAGGCCATTACTTCAGGTACGAGAGTCACTTGGCTAGTCCCCAAACACGTAATAGAAATAAAATAAGGAAAATTGGAATAAAATTATGGCCGGACCCTAACCTGGTACACACACTACGTTCCACAACCCGCTATCTCGGTTAACATACTACGGGAGTACCGGAGAAATAGCGACCGGAACTACTACCGGAATGCATTATGCTTAGGTCACATGATGAGTAATAATAATATGATAATACCGAGTCAAATAAAAGCAGAGTAAATGACATTTAATGAAGAAGGCTGCATCTACGCAATATAGAAGAACATATGCTGGGTGGAACTTGTATGTATTCTCATTTAAATGGAAACTACAACGGAAATAGTGATACACGAACCGGTTCTGCTGGGTTGTACTGACATCACTGGAAAAGCTCCGGTTACTCCCTTGGAGGTACTAAAATGATGTTTCGTAAGAGTTAATCGCAATGAAAAGCGATTGAAACACTCCGAAACAGAAATCTTAACTTCACTGAATCGGTATCAGCAAATATAATGTTTAGTTTTATAGTATAATTACTACAGGTCTATAGAGAAGATGTTTTCAGACGAGATGGAAATAATTTTGCGAGAACGGGCTTTTACGCGAATGATGATGCGTATATAATAAACTAAATATCAAAATTTTGATAAAGTTTTTTTTTTTTGAAAACTGACTTTAAATGTTACAGGCAAGAAAAATAAATATTTTTCATGAAAAACGCAATGGCTAATGTTGGACTTAAAGTAGCAAACAACTGCATAATATGCCGATTGCATATACTAATGACAATTCAATGAAATCGACGTTTCCATTTCCGGCTGCTTCGATCGCTAATTATAGGAACTACCTCTTACGAAACGTCATTGTAGTACCTCCAAGGGAATAGCCATGGCCTTTCCAATGACACCCCATTAGAACCGGCTCTTGTATTGTCTTCTCCGTTGTAGTTTCCATTTAAATGAGACACTATTTTCCTCTTGTAAAATCTGCGCAATGCAAATTCCATTTTTCGTTATCTTGATCTCGTGTTGAAAAAGGCATTCCATTCTGATACGCCATGGAATCTCCAGCAGTCCCACTGTAACCTCCTACATTCAACATGAAATTGGTAGATATAGCTTCGATGGAAAATGTGCTGAAAATGTCACCATATAAAAATATATGATGCTTCAAATGGAATGCAAATTTTGTTATTCTTTTAATATTGAATTTTTCATGATTATCTTTCATACAACTTTTAATCTCTCAATCAAAAATTCCAATGCATTTTTCCGATACACTCACATGCGAATACATACATTTATTATAAGATTCACTTGAAGACTTAAATGATCACCTGTATTTGGCGTATGCTTGGAGTATTTGGTTGTATTAAGGTACAACTAAATTGTGTCATTGCCAGCCCGCTCCAATTTTTGGTGTATTGGGAGTGGCCTCGCTTTCTTGAGTATTTTCTTTGTGGCCACCCCGGCGTTTTTATAACGAATTTTTTCTTAGTAATTCGTTATTGTTTTTGTTTGACTTGTTTTGTTCAGATAGTATTAGCTGTTAAACTTGTCTCCATTGTTGCCTTCGTTCCTGCACTACCATAAATAGTAGTTTAGTTATAAGTATAATACTGTAACTTTTTTCCAGCTGTTCTACAGTATTCTCCCCTGGTCGGAACATCTGGTTGTCTAACTTATTTCTTTCTTGGTCTTTTTGTGTCTGCCAGGACGCACCTGCCTCTCGGCACTGAATTGATTCAGAGTGTTCCTGGCAGTCGAAAGGCCATGTCTACCCCGGCATCTTCTGTGACCCCAAAACCGCTTCTTCATGCGTGGCGGCGTCACTTCATAAGGTGGTAAATGTCAAGGGGGTGAGGGTCTCTTGCGGCGATAGATGTCTCAACATCTCAAGACATACCGACCGTCGCGGCCTTTTTCGAGCTCTTCGCTTCTGTGGAAAAACTGCGCCCCTTTAAATCCCTAGTTGAGGGTATTTTTCCCATTTGACAGGGTCTGTTGAATTTAACTTTCCAGTCCACAGATGGTGACTCTACGCGTGAAATATTCCTTAATAGTGTAAATTTTCCAGACTTCATCAACATTGGTGGAGTACGCTGTAAGACGTACCTTCCTGAGGAGCTTTATGTAAAAACTTGCTTGAACTGTTTTCAATCTGGGCATCTTGCTCGAGATTATGTATTACCTCCGTCTTGTCGTCTCTGCAAGAAATCGGGGCATGTTCAGAGAGACTGTCTCTAGTTTTCAGCAGTGCCACCAGCTGAGAAACTCGGTAGCGACATACAACCTCGCACCAGTTCTCTTGATTTACCCGCGACATCCATCCCATCGACGCCAGCTAGATATAGCTTTTCCAAGATAGCATCTAGCTCCCCATCAAAGCAGAGATCGTCTAAAAAGAAAAATAGGATAAAACATCCAATAAACACAACAAGTATTCCAGTCTGGTTAGAGTCGAATTGCAATATATCCCGGCTGAGGTACGTGAGTGACTCTCTTGAGTCAGATCCTTCTCATGGGCAGGAAAAGTTGGATGATAATGAAAATGATATTTTAAACTTAGGAAAAAAACAGGATGAACCTGAAATAACAATAAATAATAATGAGAAGGAGAACTCTTCGGGGGATGGCCCTTTTAATCTGGTCAAACTCTCGGAGAGTTCGGTAGAGGCAATGAGTTATTTTGGTTAAAACTCCGAAGCCATGGTAAAAAGAAGGAACCTGGTCCAGATTGGGATTATTCCCGAATTGATAAACAATCTGTCTTTCGGGACGAAAAAAGGGGACGGGAGAGTTCGTCTAGTACATCAGACATCTCCCTTGTTCTGCCCCGAGTAAATCTAGATTTTTTTCCGTCTTGCCTCCAGAGGAAGACGAATAATATAGGTCTAATTCTGTAAATTTCTCCATTTCTATTCTTATTACACTCTGGAAAAAGTTATTGTGGATCTTGATTTCTGGCATTATTCACTGCCCGTAATGATAAAAATAATATTATTATAATAACTATAATTGGGATTAATAACTTAATACATAATAGAGTTGGATCATGTTCTAATATAGTAATCCTAGTATTTTTTCCTCGCCTCTTTTGCAATGGCCTCCTTAAAAATAGCCACATTTAATATCAATGGGCTAGCTACTAATCGGCTTAAGTTAGGTCTCTGGCTTCAAAACCAGAGACCCGATATTATTGCTTTACAGCACATACACCGCTGTGATAAAAATATTATTGATACTTGGGCCAACGATCTGGGTTACACTACGTATCTTAATACCATCAACCATGAAGATAAAACCATCAAATATTTTAAATCTGGGACCGGGTTTCTGATTAAAAATAATATCTTATTAACTGATGTTGAATATAAAAGTCTGAATCCAGATAGACACGACAGACTGGACTTTTCTTACGATAACAATACTTACTACTGTATTGTTAATTCGTATGTTCCGTCTGTCAGAGGCCATGTCCAGACAATCTTCATGGAAAAGATGCGCAGTGTGATCCAGACCCTGGATCCTTTGCTACACGTAATTATAACTGGCGACTTTATCTCTGTCCTAGATGAGCGTGATGTTCTTAATAATCATCATTTCAAACTCTCTAGGACAGAGAAAATACTAGCCTTCGCCATCCAAGCCTCTAGCATGTGGATATCTTTAGTAATAAATATCCTGCAGGCCAACTTTACACCTGTAAAATTGGGACCCAGTCACGAAGAATAGACAGAATTTACGTCTCTGAAAACCTCGTGACTGGTGTCAAAGATATTCATCATTTTATAAACACCGCTTCTGACCACACCCTCGTCCCAGTCCTTGAATTAAGATCTTCTATGAAGATAAGGTGGGGCAAGGGTGCATAGAAAAATAATCTCAATTTGTATGGTGATGTAGATTATATAAACATAATTAGTAATAAATATAACGATCTGGTCCACCATATGGACACTTTTTTCCATATCCAGAAATGGTGGGATTTTGTTAAATTTAGCTTGAGGAAAACATCTATTGCCTATTCGATCCAAAAGGCAAAGGATAATAAAAGTAAAAAGAAAGATCTAGAATTCTTAATTAAAGAAGGTGCAGACAACGATAGGATAATCAAACTTCGACAGAAAATTCTACTTCATCAAAATATTAAATTGGATTATATTAAATTAAAGGCCAAAATCGATGAAACCGAGATCAAAAAAAGGGAACAGGAAACTACAATTTCAAAACTAAAAGATAATAACGGAATCATAAAAGAAAATCAGGAATAAATTTTAAATATCGTCGAAAATTTCTACTCGGACTTATGGGGCACTGTATCCGACATAGATACAGTATCCCAAAAGACATATTTAGATACCCTTAGTACTACGTCTTCAACTTTGGAAGATGTCGATAATATTTCAGCCTGGACTAATGAAGAAGAAGTTTTTCAAATAAAGCATGGAAAATGGGAAGTCGCCAGGTTTTGACGGCTTCTCAAAAGAGTTCTATGTGGCGCTTTGTGACAGATTTAGGCACACAGATGTTCCATGTCATACGCGTTTATTGTAAAACGGTTGACTGTAAATAAAATGAAATAATCAATAAACAATCACAAGATGAGGGCGGAAAAAAAATGCATAAACAGAAAGTTAATAGAAAATAAACTTACATATGATAACGCTCCAAAGGCCTAAATCGACAAGAAACGGACAGAAAACGTGAACGTTATTGGAATAAAAATAGAAACTAAATTTAGAAAGCAGTTAATCAGAATAAAATATAAAAAATACATGAACAAATAAAGCAATAAATGACGACGATGGTCATATGGGGCCCCGGCTACGATACTATCACCACGGTTCTACCTAACGAGACCAAATGCCCCTCACACGCTAATTCAGTAAAGCAGATAATGCAAAAATACACCACACCACTAACCCCTTAACATGATTGAACAAGAACCACCTATACGACGCGTAAAATTTGTAATTTGTAGCCGACATCGACGAATCTACTCTGACTTGAAATGAGCGTGTGGTGAGAAATGAACTAATCCATTGATGAATCCTGCCACGTACTCCAATTTGGAATAGTTTATATAATAGACCCTCTCTCCACACCATGTCATAAGCCTTTTCAATATCTAAAAAGACTGCAACCACAGAACGCTTATTTCCAAGGGCTTTGTAACTTCATCATGTAGAGCGAGAATTTTATCCGTGGTCGATCTGTTACTTATAAATCCACTTTGACTTGAACTGAATAGATTATTTGTTTCGAGGAATCATTTAATTCTATGATCAATCAATCTCTCCATAAGTTTACAAAGATTGCTCGTGACAGCAATCGGTCTATATGACGCTGGATCATAACTTGGTTTGATGGGCTTCAATATTGGAATAACAACTGAAGGTTTCCATGGGGTGGGGACACGACCAGAAAGCCATATTGAATTAAAAAGTTGCAGTAAAATATCTAAGCATTCTGTAGACAGATGACGAATCATCTGATAGCATATTCTATCACATCCTGGAGATGTATTTTTGCGAGGACGAAGTGTGTTTAAGTTTTTGTATTGTGAATGGTATATTGGGAGGACTTCAGTTGTATTTGTTATGGATGCATTGTGTATTTCAAACGTGTCTTTGATAGCGAGAAAATCAGGGTTATAGTTGTTTGAGCTGCTAACATTGGAAAATCTTGATGCAAGGACATTCCTCTTGCCTAAGCTATCTGTGATGGTCCTATCATCCGATATTAGAGCTGGTATCTTTCGGTATTTTCAAATACCCCAAAAGGATTTTATAACTCCCCAAACAGTGTTTAATTTAACACTACGGTCAAGTGAATTGCAGAAACTGGACCATGCTTGCTTTTTTGCTTCCGGGATAGTTCTTCTAGCTTCTGCTCTTTGTTTTTTAAAAATGATAATATTTTGTGGAGAAATGTTTCCTTTCATTTTATTATATGAAACTTTCCTTAGTCTTATAGCCTTTGCACAATATTGTGTCCACCAGGGTACCCCAATTTTATTCATGAGTTTAGTTGTGAGGATCGATGACTGGGCGGATTTGATGATACATTTTGTGAAAAACTCATTTGCCTGATCAGTATTGGCAGGAAGTGCACTGGCTAATAAAAGTTCATTGCTCAGCTTCTTAAATTTATCCCAATTTGCATTTTTAAAGATAGAATATGGAATATGTGTACTAGATTTTGTAACTGCATCTTCAATGCATGTATTTATGAGAAAATGATCACTTCCAAGAAGTTGTCCAGTCACTTCACAAGTACATTTGTGTCCTATATCGTTGGATGCTAAAGTGAGGTCAAGAAGGGACCATCTCGTGGCCTGGCCATTACGTAATATATTGATTCTCGTCGGCGTGTTCGTGTTCAGCACGACAAGATTAAAACGATCGATGATATTATAAATCATTTTTCCTCTAATATCGGAGTTTTATTGAACAGTTGAGTTCAATAAAACATATTTTGACATACTAATAGCAAGTCAAACATGATATTTCTTAACGCCAAATACGTCAAAAATTTTGGCTTCTTTTTTTGGTAAAGGTTAGGCGGCAACCTAAGCTAGGCGCTAGGTACGTAAGTCTAATTCCAAAAAAGAATTGACCATATACCGAGCGGATTGCTAGATAATCAAAATGAATTACAGAAAACACACAGTCATCAACTTCATCATTAACAGAAAGAGAGAGAGTCAGAGACCATTGGCGCTCTTGCCACAGCATATGACATGCGTAAACTTGCCGTTTTGTAATTCATGCTAATTGATGGATCCACGATAACAAAGTAGGAATTAAAATTTACCAAATTTGGTTTAAAAGGAATCTGTTGTTTAACAATAACAATCCACTGCGCGAACTGTAAAATAACTAAATCTCACTTTGATGATTTGTCACGTATTAACAGAAATTAATTCAGGCTATTATATTTGTTAGTTGTTTGTCAACGGTGTTCATAGACATACCGCACGTTATATCAATTACTCTTGCCACGATGGATAGATATTTGAAAAGGTAATTAATATTCTTCAGAAACCGATATACCGTGATGACCATGAGGCCACATAGCCAAGTTCTGCGTAAAAGATAGCAACACGCAGGAAACCAATTTAAAACGAAAACACGATGACATGACATTTGTGGTTTGATAGAATTCGATATGACATTGGTTTGGTATTCAGAGTACGTTGATTCAGATGTTACTTAATATCATCACATTTGTCGTTCAACAAACAACATGTTAAAGCAGGGTTTAAAATAAAGTCGCACGTTAAGGTTTTCACAGTATACTTATAGAAAATTGGCATCAGGCAGTAAATGTTTCTCAGATTCACAACGTAATAGAAGATTAACATGTCAAAAGATTAGTTAAACACGAAAAATATAACGAAATATGCTGTCTGTAGTATGAAGTTGGAAACTCATGTATTCAGAGGCACAGCCCAAAGTAAACATTTTTAAATTTGGTTTTACGCCAGGCTAAAATAGAATTAGCACGCCCGCTGTCAACCTTTGTCTGAATTCATGAGTTTTGTAATCTGACCTAGAATTGTTTTGTTTTTTTGTACCACTTGTCTCTTACAAAGCAGGGGCAATTGCGTTAAAACAAGTTTATATTGACTAAATATGCTTGCTGAATGAAGTACATAATGCTCATATTGCATACCTCGCGTAATGGAATATACCATTACTTATAAGAAATGGGTTTCGGATAATAATAATACTTTTATGCTTGTATAAAATATGTCATTTTAATGTATTTGTCACTTCAGATTCTGATAGTTACAATACCTAATGTAATCTTATAGCAAATAAAGATGCAGCCCGAAAATGTAATTTTAGTCGTGTTTTTGAGTTGTGTCGTGCTTCCCTTTTCAACACCCCAAAAAGATCTTGGCTTATGCTCACAGGTTTACCTCATGCATCATTATTGCACGAGTCAACAAATCGGCAATATTGCTAAGGAGAATTTAGGGAGCAGTCGTAGCGAGGTTCGAGTGGGTAAAGCAGGGCCTCCTGGACCGCCAGGGCCGCGAGGAGAAGCAGCAGTGATAAACTACACAAATATATTTGCTAAAATGGAACAGAAGTTCAATGGTAAAGTATTATTATATTATTTGCTACCATAAGCAGTATACCACTACTAGACGCACTTCACTGACTTTTGTACACCTGAACTATAAATTGACATAGATCACATATATATATGTGTAACCTAAACTATAAAACAAATCATTCAAAAGGAGAGTATTTTGACGATAACTGATCTCAACGCCAAACACTTAGCCGAGGAACAAACGTTTTCTAACGCTCCTTTATTGACCATTCAAGATCTCAAATTGGAGTTTGATGAAAAATCATTGATGTATGACGAGATGGCTGAGCAAACAAAGAGGAATCAGATTTTAATTGATGAACTTCAAAAAAGTAAGATTTACGCAGTTTTTCGACTCTTTGAAAACAGTAGATCGTGTATATGCAACAAAAATGTATTTCTTATCACCTCAACTAAGGATAGGTTCGATGTTTACATGCAATTTGAATAAATCATACAGATATCATTCAACTAACAATCGTGGATTGCCAAACCGTGAAGCCTGAATACGCAAAATCAACTGATAAAAAAGGAGGGGTGTACGATATTTTCAGAAATAACAAACGTTACGAAGTATATTGCGATCTTACTACGGATGATGGAGGATGGATCGTAAGAGTATTTCAATAGAGCAAGGATTTTTTGTAAAATAGTTGATCTAGTGGCCCGTATTAGCATCGCGGTTTGAATCATGTGCCCATCAGCCCAGCTAAAGTGTAATAAATTGAGAACGCAATGCCTAATTCAGGATGTCCAACCTTTTTGGACGAAAGGTCACATTTAGTTTATGAATAATTGCGGGGGCCACTTGGCATGGTAGATGTTCTAGTTTTCACTACACCGACTACAGATCAATCAAAAAACAAACAAGGCACCTAAATTATAAGAACAATGGAAAGACGAAGATACAGTAAAGTCAAAAGTTTTAACCACACATAGATATTTCAATGGGAAGTATAGCATTTCGTTTATCCAACAAGTTTGTCTATAGTAGGTACAATGGCGATGTAGCAATGCGGAGAGGATTTTTCATACGACTGTCAGAAATTAGTGATCTCACGGGCGATTTGACATGGTTCACTAGCGAAAAAACTAGCTCGTACTAGTGGCCTAAGTACTGTGAAATATTGAGGTCATAAAAACTGCTTCTTCTAGCTTCACAGAAGAAGGACAGAAAAACAGATTGAAATACATGACAGACGATAAAAATAAATTCAAACATCTCTCTCCAGTAATAACGCTCACAAAAGGACATAAATAAGCTTTCGATGGCTGGGTGATGTTTCTCGCGCGTTTGAATGAAAAGAAATATTTTTTTTTTTGTTAGAGGTTACAATAATGGCCCAGATTTGTGAAAGACATTGGTATTTGAATACTACCACGCGGGCCACTCAGAAACCTTCGGCGGGCCACACGTGGCCCGCGGGCCACGGGTTGGACGATCCTGGCCTAACCGGAAGGAATCCTGTTCTCCAAAAATTAGCATCTCGTTACTCACCAGTGAAGGTTAGTAACGAATTTTATTAAGACAAGACTATACTTACATTGCAGGTGTTTCAGCGTCGTCAAGATGGTTCGGAAAATTTTTATAGAAAATGGAATGACTACGCTAAGGGATTTGGAAACAAAACAGGCGAATTTTGGTTAGGTAAAGTAATTCACTCGTTATCTTAGCATAAACGTTATTTTCGGCTTTCAGTGATGATCTCCATTTTGATAATTCTAAAATACCATCTGTCAGGTCTAGACGCTTTGCATGCATTGACACTTGAAGGAGAATACGAATTGCGAATTGATCTTTTGGATAAAGAAGGTAACACAGCATACGCCAAATACAGGTGATCATTTAAGTTGAATAATAAATGCATATATTCGCATATGAATGTATCGGAAAAATGCATTGGAATTTTTGATTGAAAGATTAAAAGTTGTATGAAAGATAATCATGGAAAATTCAATAATAAAAGAATAACAAAATTTGCATTCCATTTGAAGCAGCGTATATTTTTATATGGTGACATTTTCAGCACATTTTCCATCGGAGCTATATCTACCAATTACGTGTTGAATGTAGGAGGTTACAGTGGGACTGCTGGTGATGCTATGGCGTATCAGAATGGAATGCCGTTTTCAACACGAGATCAAGATAACGACAAATGGAGTTTGCATTGCGCAGATTTCACAAGAGGAGGATGGTGGTTTAATGGCTGTATGCATTCTCATTTAAATGGAAACTACGACGGAGAAGGCAATACACAGGCCGGTTCTGCTGGGTTGTACTGGGAGTATTGGAAAGGCTCTGGTTATTCCCTTGGAGGTTCTACAATGATGTTTCGTAAGAAGTAGTTTCTATAATCAGCGATCGAAGCAGCTGGAAATGGAAAAGTCAATTTTATTAAATTTTCATTAGTATATGTAATAAGCAGACTTATGTATATCTTTATCGCTTATATGTATAGTAAATGTAATCAGTCAAGTTTCTGTTTAATGCATTAAATAGGAGTTACAACAAAAATAATTATGAATAATTTATTGAAAATTTAAATAGATGTCTTTGTACATGCAGTTTGGTTTGCGGAACAGGCAACAGCAGACATCGACAGTTGAATGAAAACTACATATGACAACGCACCAACGAGAGTATTTTCAACCAATATATACTTGTTGTTTTTCCTTTAGCTTCAGGACATGTATATAGGGGGGAAAAATACTCGGGATCAGAGTTCTTAACAGTGGTAAAATGACGAGTTGAGCCAGATATCGTAATTAATAAAGAAAGGAATAGGCTATAACTTGTAAAATAGAACGGGATTTTGAGACATTTAATACCCAAGCAAATACATCTGAGCAGGCGAACTTTATTCGATATGGATTGTTTGATCGTATGTGTATAGGCAATTATCCTTTCTATAAACAAACGGGACTGGTAAGAGTGGGAAACGCGCCAAAATATATATTCTGATATGGTATAGGCAAGATTCTTGAACCACAAATTTTGTCTACCCAGACTGGCGGGCCATGTAAGTATAACGTAAAAGTTACATTTTATGAACAATATTTACAGTGTTACAACAGCAAAATTGGGAAACGATAAGCCTCGTGCAAAAACTAAATTTAATTGCAATCTCATTAAATTTATTGAGATATTTTTGAGCTAAAACATTAAAATTTAATTTTAGTTCGGTTGTGACAGCATCAGGCGGGCCAATTTGAATTACCCAACGGGCTGGATTTGGTCCGCGGGCCGTAGTTTGCTAGGTATAGACCTATTTCTGTTCTTGATGCAGGCGTTCATATTCATAATGATTTTTTCTACCTACTTTTACTATGAATATTAGCCATCATCACGATAGTTATGAGACATTTTATAGGTCAAGAGTCCTATTTCAATTAGCGACGACTTGAAGTGCTTATAACATGCATTGTAGACTGTAGAGGATATATTTGAATGAAAATATTTTACAATTATTATCGTATATTTCAATTTAGTCGAGATAGTTTGTGCGGCCTCGGCAATAAATCTAAAAGCAAATTGTGTCGCAATTAATTGTTTTCATTCCAGTTTCGATAGTGACTGAACATATCGTGAAATGTTTTCATTTCTTTCAATTTAGAGCATATAAAATAGCTCTTAAATATTATTTAGTATCTATCGCGAATTCTATCTTTATCACGGTGTGTTCATGACAATATCGTTCAGTTTAAATTGGCGGTATTAATTTATATAAGGGCAAAAATAAAATCATAACATCCGACATGAAATATTTGAATCATCGCCGACTCGAAAAATAAAACACGATTTTGGTCTTAATTCTCCATTATTTGCGGATGGAAATTTGAGAATCAGGTTTATTCATTCGATTATGACGATGATTGCGTAATAACATTTGAATTTTTCTGAATCGACGAATGCTTTTAGTTTGTTTGATGAATCACGGTTTTAGAATTTAATTATGCGCACAATAAAGGTTAAAGGTTATTAGCACTATTTAACAATATGTAGAAAGTATAAATAACTGTTGATTTGAGAACTGTATATATTTCTTGTGCATTGTAGCGAATCGTCCAATGAATTTTATATAACGTGATTAACTGCGTTTCTCTGTTTCGTTATATCAATTAAATGAATATCAATGAATGAGACTTTCATTTATTTTAGTTTTTCAGGAATATTGTATTTTTATTATGTAATTTTGCTATTTCTAATATAACATAGATTTTATATATTTATAGCAATATTAAATTCATTTTGGGCCTTGATGATAGTTATTGCTCCATGGACCCCAGCTTTGCGAAATTTCCAGTCAAGTTCTCAGAATTATTCAGTCAAATGGAAAGTTTTGTTCGTTACCCCTTTAGTAAATTCCCTTGAATAATCTCAATTTATGTACTTTTAGAAAAACGCATCAAGTTACTGACTTTTCATAGTTAATCTCATTAAATTTTTATGGACTCATTCAAAGCATGAAATCTGACATTTGACAGCAAAGTCTTAGTTACAAACCTTTTTACAAATTATACTGATTGTATTAGTCGCTCCATTTTATATGGATGTCCGAGTACAAGCTTGCCTGTCATTGATCCTGATCTACCTGACAAATGACCGACAACCCGTGCCAGGCAATTTTCATTGATACTGATTGTATTATAATAAATTGCTTAAAATTTAATGTTATTTCAAGGTAATTCAAGTCAGATATTGTAATTTTACTTTAATTCATTGAGTGTTTTTATGATTTTTACCTGTCGTTTCACTTTAGTTCAAATAAGAGCAACTACTATTGTATAGTGATGCAATTCACTTACTGTTATTATATAATTATTCATGTCAGATAATGTAATTTTACTTCAATTCATTGAGTGTTTTTTATGATTTTTAACTGTCATTTTACTTTAGTTCAAATAAGAGCAACTACTATTGTATAGTGATGCAATTCACTCGCCCTCCCATATATTTCACAGATTGTAAGGAATTGGAATAATAAGAGTCAGTGGGAAATTACTTGCTCGAAATTCTAAATCTTCAATAGGAGTGAACAATATATCTACAGTCTACTCACCTTGTGACGTCATCCATGCTCGATTACAGCTCAGTTTCATTTCATGCCTTCAATATTCACAGTCGATCATGCTTAGCATATGAATAAGTCCAAGTAGAATCCATAGATATGATCTAGGGCCTGACTAATGAAATGAGAAGAACCATTACGGAGTATAGATGGAGAAATAGTACTCCTGTAGTATGTAAACCAAGATGGCGGACGCTGGAACGTAGTATGTGTACCAGATTAGGCATGGAAAGCATACAAAAGTAAAAAAAATCAGACGCATTACAAGGAAGTCTCTTTGGACGGCTGGTAGGCATTGATGTATAAAGTTTTCAAACAATATTTTCACAAATTGTAATTTATAGTTAGAGTACTATAAGAAAGCGATTTCCCCAGTTTGACACCAACAAATTTGATTGAAAGTGATGGATGACCGCGTTCCATATGAGAACATCACTCATTTTTCTAATATTTTCACAACATGAAAAACTGTTAGGAAATAAAACGTAAGTTTCTACGATAGGCCCAAGACATTGAACACTACCGCCAATTGCAACAATAACAGTGCCTCTAAAAATGAAGGCCGAACTTTTGCCGCATCGCCGAACTTTTGCTATTCAGAACCGTCTAATCCGCTGTGAAAAAAGAACAATATTGCATGCTGATCAAAACATTTGTCTGAATTAATGTCGCTCCTAGTGATATTTTAAACCTGATGTCAAATTTCATATTATACCACTGTGTTCAGCAACTTCAAAAATCATATATATGCATACTAAGAGTTTATGAATTTCATGAGAAAAAAATAATATTTTTGATGGACGAGACGCCGCCACTGGAAATATAAAACTAATCGTTTTTTAATATTTTTTGAATATAAAAGAAAATATTATACAGAGATATATTTGGTTCGTTCTTAAATTGTTACCTCTATGGGTATATTGCTCGGAATTCATTTAGAATTATTTTCTCGTAAATTTCTCTTGGTTTAGTTATTGAGTTGGACCAGGACTCTTAACCTAAAATGTCGCACGGCCATTGTTTTTTGATAATTTATTTTGAAAACTACACACCTCATAAAGGAGCAGTGATTCGACTGTTGTAGGTCTACACAAAACAACAAACCTAGAAATTTGAATAAGGTTGGGCGATTCTTATCAGTGACCCACCCAGTTAGGTAAAATCGATTATAACCCGTGTGCGTCTGCTATGCTGCGAATAAAAACATCGGGTATTATTGACTAGAGAACTGTTCGGGCAATATAACATTCTTATTCAATTTCAAAGCATCATGCTCCGTAGTAAAATTGGGTAGAAAGGAACAGTATGTATATGGGCGCCTGCAGCACAAACAGAAATGATGTGTCTTTACCATATCAGAGTATATATTTTGGCGTGTTTCCCACTCTTACCAGTCCTGTTTCTTTATGGAAAGGATAATAACCTATACAATTACTATCAGACAATCTATATCGAATAAAGTTCGCCTGCTCAGATTTATTTGCTTGGGTATCCGAATGTTTCGAAATCCTGTTCTATTTTACAAATTATAGCCTATTGCTTTTTACATTATCTATCACAAGACCCACGCGATGGTACATGTCAATATGAAAAACAACAGATATTGGTTGAATTTACACTCTTTGGTGCGTTGTCGTATGTAGTTTTCATTCAATTGTAGATGTCTACTGTTGCGTCAACTAAACTGCATGTACACCAGACATCAATTTTAACTTTTTTTAAATTATTCATAATTATTTTTGTTGTAACTCCTATTTAAAGTACAAACAGAAACTTGACTGATTACATTTACTATACACACAAACGATAAACATATAGTCTGTCAATTGCATTTACTAATGTCAATTCAATAAAATCGAAGTTCCCATTTCCGGCTGTTTCGATCGCTATTTATAGAAACTGCTTCTTACGAAACATCATTGTAGAACCTCCAAGGGAATAGCCGTAGCCTTTCCAATGATACCAGTACAGCCCAGCAGAACCTGCTCGTGTATCGCCTTCTCCGTTATAGTTTCCGTTTAAATGAGAATACATACAGCTTTTAAACCACCATCCCCCCCTCGTAAAATCTGCACAATGCGAACTCCATTTGTCGTTATCTTGATCTCGTGTTGAAAATGGCATTCCATTATGGGTCGCCATAGAATCACCAGCAGTGCCACTGTAACCTCCCAGTTTCAACACGTAATTGGTAGATTTACGTCCGGCGGAAAAAGTGCTGAAAAATAACGCCATATAAATGTTGGTTGAGAGTGAATGCATTTTTGATATTTTGAATATTGAATTTTCTACATTTATCTTTTAATTAAACTCGCATTATTTATAGCAAAATTCACTCGCATTATTCCAATACACTCAAATATTAATACATACATTTATTATAAGATTCGACTCGAATGATCCAAAAGATCAATTCGCAATTCGTATTCTCCATC